GTCAGAGGGGGACGCTGATGGGTCACCTCGTAAGAGGAAGCTGGCAGTTGTTCGGTGTTGACGGGGAAACTGTGTGACCTGCTCTGCCCTTGTGGCAGCATTGGGGGTGGCATTGGCAAGCTTGGGGGGAGGGTAAGAGCGTCCACGTGCCTTCATGACAGTGTAATGTAATGAGTGACCCCGTCGGTAAGGGGCAGGCATGCAACAGACTCAGGCAGTGGAAGGCAAGATGGCACAGCGGTAGGGAGGACGATCTAATGGCAGCAACACTCCCTGCAGTCACGGTCGCTTCCACAAGTCACTAAAACTTCCAGCAGCCCCACACCACCTCTGTCTCACCACGCCTGATGGATTGCTCCTCGCCTGGTTTCCAGAGAGCAGGTGGGGAGAGATTTTTTAACTTATTTATTTTTTATTGCGCTGAGTCTTTGTTGCTCCAAGCAGGCTTTCTTTAGTTGTGGCGAGCGGGGGATACCCTTCCATTGTGGTGTTCAGGCTTCCCATGGCCGTGACTTTCGCACGTGGTGGAGCTCTAGGCACGTGGGCTTCAGGACTTGTGGTGCTTAGTTGCTCCGCAGCGTGCGGGATCTTCCTAGACCAGGGGTCGAACCTGTGTCCCCTGCAATGGCAGGCAGATTCTTATCTACTGCGCTACCAGGGAAGTCCAGGAAGGGAGAATTCTAGAAGGAATGGCTGCCTGATGCACCAGCCTTCCATGGGGCTTAGCCATGGAGGTATTGGTCGTGCATGTCCCCGAAGTGGGACTGCCCCTCCCCACCTTCCACACGTAGGCTGGGCTGTTTCTGGGGCAGCAGGAACCTAGCCCAGTGCCCGTGTAAGACACATCTGGTGGCTGAAGAACAGACCAGGGTGGACCTTGGCAAAGGAGCCTAAGAAAGGGAGACAAAGGTGCTCCATGAGAGCTGACTCATCCACGGCAGCCCCTGACCCTTCCCACACTGGAATCCCACACTTCTGTCAACTTGATCTTGGGGTTCCTTCCCTAGCCACTCTCCCCACACCCTACCACCCCTCCTGACTCTCCTCACAGGCCCTGGGAACTCTGTTTCCTCAGCCACGATGCCCTCAATCTTGTCCCCAAAGTTTCCCTCTGCCTCATGCTCCTCTAGCCCAGCCCCGCAGCTCTCATGGCTCCCCAGACCAGTTCTAGTTCTCCCCACGGAGAACCTTCTAGAGTGACTCCTCTTCCTGGGAGCCCATTAGGGCTCACCTCAGGGGTGGGACATACCCCCTCTTGTCCATTATCTACTGAGGGTGCCCTGGTGCTCCTGGCCCCTGCTCACCTCTCTGGCTTCCATTTGTCCTCTTTCCCTTTCTCCCCTCCCTGAAAGCTCCAGTCTTACTCAGTTCCCACATGTTCCACACACTCCTGTCTTTGGGCGTTTGCCTGTCCTTCCCTCCGCTTTTTACAGGTGTTCCTTTCCACTGAAGACTGATGCTGAAGCTGAAGCTCCAATACTCTGGCTACCTGATACAAAGAGCCGACTCATTGGAAAAGATCCTGATGCTGGGAAAGACTGAAGGCAGGAGGAGGAGAGGGTGACAGAGGATGAGATGGTTGAATAGCATCACTGACTCAATGGACATGAATTTGAGCAAACTCCAGGAGATAGTGGAGGACAGTGAGTTGACATTACTTTGCCAACAAAGGTCTGTCTAGTCAAAGCTATAGTTTTTCCAGTAGTCATGTATGGATGTGAGAGTTAGACTATAAAGAAAGCTCTGGGGGCCAATGAATTGATGCTTTCAAACTGTGGTGTTGGAGAAGACTCTTGAGCATCCCTTGGACTGCAAGGAGATCCAACCAGTCCATCCTAAAGAAAATCATCCCTGAATATTCATTGGAAGGACTAATGCTGAAGCTGAAACTCCAATGTTTTGGCCACCTGACATGAAGAACTGACTCATTTGAAAAGACCCCGATGCTGGGAAAGATTGAAGGCAAGAGCAGAAGGGGGAGACAGAGGATAAGATGGTTGGATGGCATTACCAACTCAATGGACATGATTTTGAGCAAACTCTGGGAGATGGTGAAGGACAGGGAAGATTGGAGTGCTGCAGTCCATGGGGTCACAAAGAGTCAGACATGGCTTAGCAACTCAACAACAACAATTGAGCCTTCAAGACTCCCATTCCCAGGCAGAATGCTTCTTTCTTTCCCGCCCTCCTAGAGTCCTTCTCTCTGGCCCAAGAGTATCATAGTCAGGTCTGTCTCTTGGGACCCATTTTGGGAGATTATAAGAGTTCTCTCTCTCATAGAAATTTTTGGTGATGAAATGAGATTATGTATGGGACTTCTCTGGTGGTCCAGTGATTAAGAATTTGCCTTTGAATGCAGGGGACTTGGATTCCATCCCTGATCAGGGAACTAAGATCCCACATGCTTTGGAGTAACTAAGCCCTCATGGCCCACAGCTAGAGTCTATGCATTGCAAAGAAAGATCCTACATGAGGCAACAAAGATCCTGAGGGCCCCAACTAAGACCTGATACAGCTAAGTAAATAAACAAGATAATGTGTATGAAACTCTTAACATCATGCCCAGCCCATAAGCACCTGCTAAATATTACCTTAAATGGTTATTTGCTATTTATTTTTTACATTTCAGAAGTGCTATGATGGAGGCACAATCAGCATAATCAGCTTCGGGAATTCAATAGAGTAAACTAATTATTTCGGCATGGCAGGGGATTTTTGAACTGGGCTTTGCCAGATGCATAGGAGTTTGCTGAGGGGACTAACAGCCTCAGGTCCAACAGCTTCTGAGTAATCTCCATACCAAGGATCACAGGTGGTGTCTGTTCTCAGAAGTGGGAAAGCAGTGGGGAAAGCTAGAAATTTTTGTTTGGGATCTGAATTCCGACTAGGGAGCAGAAATTCTGAAATTCAACTTCTGTGACAGCGAGAGAAGCTGAGGCTGAGAAGGGCTAGACCTTTGGACTCTTAAACTCTTCGTTTTGAGAATCAGATTTTTAAAAAAAAGTGGACCTCCTTCCCAGAAAACGCATCTCTGGCCAGCGTTTTGCCTACATTGTTAGGGTCTTCCGGAGCTTAGTCTAGTTAAGAATCCAGGCTCCAGGCAGCCAGGTAAGATTCCCCAGTCACCCTTGGAATTCTCCAGGTTCGAGGGAGGCGGCGGCGGCTCGGGGAGAACACAGGAAAGAGCCTCCAGGTGAGTCCTGGGAACTTTCAGGCCTGGATCTCTTCCAGACCACACCAAATCGCAGCCTCATCTTAGGGCCACCACCCGCTCAATTTCTACCCCGAAACGCGGTCCCGACAGCCTCCCCGCGCCCCGTCTCAGCCCGCGCCTCGGGTCTGTACTCCCGCCCCATCCCATTTCTTCAGCCCCTCGGAGTTTCACCCGGAGCCCCAAGCCTTCCCCCAGCTCCAGCCCCTCCCCGAGGCCCGGGATCTGAGCCCCCGGCCCCCCGCCCCGGGAGCTTCAGAGGTGCAAACGTGCCCTCCCCCAACTCCTCCCGCAAGAGCGTGGTGGCGGCTCCCGGGCCTGTGTCCCCGGCCCTGCCGGGTGGAGAACGCGGCCCGCGGGCTCGGCGGGCGCCCGCGCCCTCCCCGCTAACCCCGCGCCTAGTTCGCGGATCCTGGGATTCCTCGCTTTCCGCCCCTCCGGTTACCCCCACCCCTCTGCCGCCTCGTGGAGCGCGCGCTGTCCCCGCTCATTCATTCCATAAGCTCCTCGGCGCAGTTCTCCGAAGCAAAGTTGAGGGGTGAAGGAGGGAGCTGGGTCAGGCCACGCCGGAGATGGAGGTCCCCCGGGCCCCGAGGCTGCGTAGAGAAGGCGTCCTCCGAGCGCAAAACAGCCTGGACGGCTTGGAAGCCAGAAGAGAGTGCCCTTTACTAGTGGGGCCGACTTTCTCGCTTCCCCGCCAGAGGTGACAAAGGTCTTTTCCTTTTCCGAGGACCTGAAGACCACCTGGTCAAACTCTCATAGCCCAGAGAGGGGCAGCCACCTGCCCAAGGGCACACAGCACACTCCCCATCCATTCTGCACCCAGACGCAATTCCTTTTCTCGCTAGTGCACAAAGCTGGACTTGAAAGGGGCCCCGAGACGGCCACTTGGTCTGCCTTCTCTTCCCCAAGGGCCCAGCTCCCGTCCTCCTAGCCTTTGTCCAGTCCTCTACCTGCCAGGAGTGACTATGTCCCCATTGCCTCCCTCCCATCCTTCCAGGTTCTAGAGAGAACCAGGCACCTCCTGGAGTGTAGGGTCCCCTTGATTTTCTTCCCCTCTCTCTCCTCTGCCTGGGCTTCAGCTCCCTCTCAGCCCCTTACTAAATGTGTGATGGCCTCAGTTTGCTCCTCTGTGAAGTGGGCACAATAGCTGTCCCTTCCCTGCTGGACGGAGAGGTGTTCTCGCCAGCGGGAAGTTCCAGTCTGTGCCCCAAAGCTCCTGCAGTCTTCTTTGGATGTCTGGCCCAGGCTCCTCAACTGTGTGCTTCCTCTGGGGCCCTTACAAGTCCTCCTGCACGCTGGCATACATCCACTTCTGTCCTTGTTCCTCCCACTTAGAACCCTACAAGGGCTCTCCACTGCCCTGACCTACAAGTGGGAGCTCCAGGACACAGGTATGCACTCCTGAAACACCGCGGCCGCCACCCACCCCCTCCCCTCCCCTCAAAGGTCCACAGGTCTAATTTCCTTCGCCCCCAGGGTGCTATCTCTGCCTTGACACCCTCCTCTCTGCTGACTCCATCATTGAGACATCACACCTCCTCCGGGAAGCCTCCCTTGACTGTTCACCTGCTTGCAGGTTGGGTTGGATGCCTCCCTGGGCCCCCAGCAGCCCCCAGTTTCTCCATCCCTGCCGCCTTCCCACCGCTCCTGGTTCTCCTGGGTGCCCAAGGGCTTCTTGCTGAGGTTGACTCCGCCTCCTCTCCACAGCCTCCGAGGGAGGGACGAGGGACGTATCATGATTCTGGAGGGTCCGTGCTTGACAAGGAGAGGACCCAGCCCCCTCACCATGGCCCGGGGCCCTCTGGCTCGACTCCTGCTGGCCTGGACAGCCCTGTTGTGCGTGGCGGGTGTCCAGGGCCGTTGGGATGGGGCTGTGCAGCCTGCCGGTCTTGGAAGTGTGCGCAGGCGTGGCAGCCCTGGCTTCTTGCAAGGGTGTGTGGTACCCGGGATGCTGAGAGGCCCCTGGGATCTGGGCTGGGCCTGGGCTGGGCCGTCCTGCTGGGTGGGAGAACGAGGCCCAGGGGACGTCCAGCCGGGCAGGAGCTCACCTGCCTCTCCTGCTCTCTTGAAGGCCTAACGTGTGCGGCTCCCGCTTTCATGCCTACTGCTGTCCTGGCTGGAGGACGCTGCCGGGTGGGAACCAGTGTGTCGTGCGTGAGTGTCGCTGCCTTCCAGGGGGCTGGGGGTGGTGTGGAGTTAAGCCATGAAATTGGCCCTTGCCTCTGTCCTCAGGCTCCCAGGCCAGCCAATCATGTTTCTTTGCCTTACAGCTTCCCTGTGTCTGTCTGCTTGTCAGTCTGTCTGTCTTTCTGTCTTGGTCTTTCTCCAAGTCCCTGTCTCTGTCTCTTTCTCTGTCTGTCTTTTTCTCTGTGTCTCTTTTCATTTCTCCACCCGCACCCCATTCTAGTGGGTCTGGAATCTGACTCTGTTCGCAAGAGACCTTCCCTCTCACTGCCCCCTACCCCAGCACAACAGCCAGCAGACCAGTACCCTCCAGCTTCTGTCCTTACTGCTCAGTGGTTCAGGCCCAAAGAACACCTCTGTCTCCCCGTGGCTGCAGCAGAGCTTCAGTCCTCCGGGCCCGTGGGGGGTGGGGATGGCAGAAGATCCTGGCCTTGACCGCCGCCTGCTGCTCTCCAGCCATCTGTAGGCACGCCTGTGGCCAGGGCTTCTGTTCCCGACCCAACCTCTGTGCCTGCGCTGATGGGAAGCTGGCCCCCAGCTGCGGGGTGAGCCGAGGTGAGCAGGAAATGATCCCCCACCCCAGGGGTGGGAAGAGAAGGTGAGTGGCTTCCAGAAGGCTCTGGCAGTTTCCAGGCTGGTTTTGCTGAAGGACCAGAGCCAGGCTGGACACTTCTGGTCCCAGAGCCTTGAGCAGGTGTCTCAGGGCTTTCTGTGTGTGCCCTGCTCCCCGCCCACAGGGTCAGGGTGCAGTGTGAGCTGTTTGAATGGGGGCAGCTGTCGAGGGGAGTCTTGTCTGTGCCAGAGGGGCTACACGGGCACCGTGTGTGGGCAACGTAAGTACCCCCCATGCACACCTGGGCTGGGGACCCCAGAGGTCAGGTCTCTGCTATCGTCTGCCCACTGTCCACCAGTCCTTCTTCTGGGACCAGGATTGGAGGGGACACACTCATTGTTACAATCTTATCCCTCGGTCTGGGCTGGGTTGTGGGGATTCCTGGGTGAAGAAAGGCTCACTTGGGCCTCAGCTCCCTCTACTGTTGGGGAACCTCAGGCCACCCCCTTCCCTTCCTCCACAGCTGTCTGTGACCACGGCTGCCACAACGGGGGCCGCTGCATTGGGCCAAACCACTGTGCCTGTGTGTACGGCTTCATGGGGCCTCAGTGTGAGAGAGGTACCAAGCTGAGCATGGGGAAGGGGTCAGCAGGGAAGGGGCACTTCCTGAGACGTGGTTGGACCCCTGGAGGGTCCAGTAGACCTCCTCTCTGCTGTCCTTGCTGCACAGAAGGGCAGAGAAACTGTCTGCTCCCGGGAAGGAAATCAGGGAGGGCTTCCTGTAGGAAGGGGTAAGTTGGAGTTCAGGAGATGGACAAGCCCCCACACGCTGCACCCCCACTGTCGAAGTGACCCCACAGGCTGAGGTGGAAGGAGTCACCTGTTGGGAGGCTGTCACTGAGGCAAAGACAGTGGTTGCAATGAGAAGTTGGATGCCGGGCGGCAGGGGATAGAGATAGTGATGAACCTAGGTCTGCTCTGAAAACTGAGGGACAGGTGGGTACAGGGAAAGGCAAGATGCTCAGGCTCAGAGTTGGCTGAGGAACCTGTGGGTCACCAATGAGGCCGCTGGATACCCAGGTCTGGGGCTGCCACATCTATGGGGCCTGAAGCCTCTTGGATGGTTGAGGTTCTTTTGGAAGAAAAGGGGGGAGGGGGTGATTTAAGGATCCACCAAAGAAATGGAGCTTAGCCACCAGCAAGTGGGAAGGAGAAGGTGAAAAGGCGTGCATGGCAATGGGGGTGCCCAGGCCGGCGAACCACCAGAGTGCCTTGCTTGGCCAAGGAGCCCAGAAAGGCAAAGACGGGAAGGGCCTTAGGACTGATCCCAGCGTGGGGGCTGCTGAGGCCTGTCTGTGACTGGAGCCAGTTTGGGGAGGGTATAGCCACGAATCAGAAGCTGGAGGGGCTATGGGTTGCCTGGGTTCCAGAGTGGGCTTTGGGAAACTGGATTTGGCAAGAAAACAGAGTTGGAGTTTGGGCTGACAGAGGGGGAGCAGTCGGGGTGGCTGAGGGAAAGGGAAGGTTAGTGGGGAGGGTGAGAGAGGAGGGGCCTGGTGTGGGGGCTGGGAGGTGGGGGCCCCCACAGAGAGGCAGGGCTGGGTGCTCAGCAAGAATGAGTGGGGATTCCAGGGTCCTGGGAGGCTGAGGTGAGAGTCTGGAAACCCTGTTTTGCTTAGGGAAGTCAGGACTGTGTTGGAGCTCCTCTCCATTCGGGCCTGGGGGCTGGCTTTGGCGTCTCCTTCTGGGAGGGGCTTCCCTTGGTCCAATGCCAGCCCCTTGATTGGAGCCATCTGGAGCACGGAGCCAGGAAGTCACATCTGGGCCCATGCCCGGCGGTGGGGGGACTGATGAGACCACCTTCGGCTGGGCGGGGGTTCAGCAATGAAGAATTGTGAGTTCAGAGCATTTGGTGGATGCTGGGTCCCTCCCGGAGTCTGGCAGAGCCTGAGGTTGCTCAGGGATGGGGGCAGCTCTGCAACAGGGCATCCATGGGTCCCTGCCCAAGCCTGCAGGGAGGGTGGGCCTGGGGGAGGGGGAGGGTCTCCAGACATGCTCTGAGCTCTGTAGGCTTGGAGGTCCTGGCTTCTGTTGGAGGTTGGTTGGACATTGCTCTGGAGAGAAAGGGTTTTGAAAGGTGAATAGGAGTTCATCAGGTAAGGGAAGGCAACAGTATGAGTAGAGGCTTGGGGTCAGGAGAAAAAAAACAAAACCTGGTGTGTTGGTATAGGGAGGCTGGGAAGGTGGCCACAACAGTAGTCCAGGCGAGAGAAGTAGAGGCCTGTGCTGGGCCTGCTGGGATGGAAATGCAGAAGGCGATGGGGTGGGGGGCAGCCTGAGGCCAGCTGCCACATCCATCTGCCCTGCAGACTACCGGACAGGGCCCTGCTTTGGCCGAGTGGGCCCTGAGGGGTGCCAACACCAGCTGACAGGCCTCCTCTGCACCAAGGCGCTCTGCTGTGCCACTGTGGGCCGGGCCTGGGGCTTCCCATGTGAGCTCTGCCCAGCTCAGCCACACCCCTGCCGCCGGGGCTTCATCCCCAATATTAACACGGGGGCCTGCCAAGGTAAGTAGAGAGGGCCAGCGCGTGAGGACAGAGGTCCTGGGAACCAGGGCTGAGTGGGAGCCCTTGGTGGCTTTGGTTTCCTCCTCTGACGGGCCTCTCATCCCCTTGCAGATGTGGATGAGTGCCAGGCTGTGCCAGGCCTGTGCCAGGGGGGCAGCTGTGTCAACACGGTGGGTTCCTTTGAGTGCCGCTGCCCCACTGGACACCGGCTCAGTGAGAACAGCGCCAAGTGTGAAGGTGGGTGACGGGGAGAGGTTCAAGTTGGGACCCCCTCTCTGCTGTGCTCTGAGTGGCTCAGCTTCCCCCTGCAGGGAGGAGGAGGAGGTGGGGTAGGGCTGGTGGGGGCCCCTGCCTGGCGCTGACCCGGCATCGATCTGCATAGATGTGGATGAATGTCTCAGTGCGCCAGGCCTCTGCTCCGGGGGTGACTGCACCAACACAGTCGGGAGCTACGTGTGCACCTGTCCCCGTGGTTATGCCAGCAGCCTGGACGGCACTCGCTGCCTAGGTGAGCCAGGGCTCAGGGTAGGATAGGGGCTGAGTGGGCAGAGGCCATGTAGGAGACAGACCCCTTGGCTCATCTGTCTCTGCAACCTTCTGGCCTTAGGGCTTCTCTAGCCTTTCAATTTCTATGTCCTTTTGTGTTTTTTGGACCCTGGTTTCCATCCCCTCAGAAATTCTGGCTCCTTATACTTTGGTCTTTATGCTCTCTTGACCCCAGTCTGCAAGCCCCTCTAGCCCCCATCTCTAAGGCCTTTAGCTCTCTGGTCTCTCATCTTGGTCTCCTGGCTTCAGTGCATTCCCCCTCCCCCATTCCCCTTTACCCCTAGGACTCTGTCCTTCTGGCTTACTGGTTGGTTGTCATTCTTGCCTTCCTGGCCTCTGTTTCTATGCCCCTCTGCCCCTCTTGCCCCCATCTCTATGCCCTTCTGCCCCTCTAGCCCCCATCTCTATGCCCCTCTAGCCCCCATCTGTATGCCCTTCTGCCCCTCTAGCCCCTATCTCTATGCCCCTCTGGTTCTCTGTCCTCCATCCTCCATCTTTATGACCTTCTGCCCTTTGGCCTCACAGGCCCCAGTCTCTGTATCCCTCTTTCCACTCCTGAAGACTTTAAAAAAATTACCCATCTTCCCCCACACCCCGTGTTTGAGATAAACTGAGGCCCTGAGAGGGGAGGTTTGCTTGAGCCAAATCCACATGTAGACGAGACAGTTACCCACACCCAGCTCCCCGGAGACCTCACTCTGCCGCCACGAAGGTGGCGTCCTCTGGTCCATGCCTCTCCCTGGATACCCACCCTCCTGTAACCCCCACACCCCACCTGGCTGCTGCAGGGGGATCCTTGGGCTCTCTCCCTGTCTTGCTGTCTTGATGAGCTGCGCGTTAGACTTTAGAGGCGGCTGACAGGGCTAGCCAGAAACACTTGTGATGGGGTATGGGCGGAGCCTGGGTTTGGTGAGGCAAGGTGAGCTTGGCAGGTCTCCAGCGCCACCTGGGCCCCTCAGGCTGGATCTCTACCAGGCAGGACCGAGAATGTGTTTGGTGTTCTGCCAGTGTGCCGAGGCCACTGCCAGACCTATTTATTCCTCCACCTCTCGGGGCCATCTTGGCTGGCATGGTGACTAGCTCTGGGCACGTCCCCTGGACTGTGGGGGCCTCTCCCAGCTACTAAATAGCAGAGTGTAGATTTGAATCAAGGTCAAGTGTCCTCTGAAAATAGGCTTGCAATTCAGTCTTGTGTTCCAGGTGACCCAGGGCAAGTTCCTTAACCTCTTTGCTTAGCCTCAGCTGCCTTATATGGCAGTACTTACCCATTTTACTGTTCACTGACCCAGTCATGTCTGACTCTCTGCGGCCCCATGGACTGCAGCACACCAGGCTTCCCTGTCCTTCACTATCTCCTGGAGTTTGCTTAGATTCATGTCCACTGAGTTAGTGATGCCATCCAACCATCTCATCCCCTGCCATCCCCTTCTCCTGCCCTCAATCTTTCCCAGCATCAGGGTCTTTTCCACTGAGTCAGCTCTTTGCTCCAGGTGGCCAAAATATTGGAGCTTCAGCATCAGTCCTTCCAGTGAATATTCAGGGCTGATTTCCTTTAGGATTGACTGGCTTGATCTCCTTGCAGTCCAAGGAACTCTCCAGAGTCTTCTCCAGCAGCACAGCTCAAAAATATATGGAGAGGGTTAAATACTTACGGAGTGATTCGCCCAGGGGTGGAAGTATGGGGTACTAAGTGCACATTCAGAAACACAGGGGAGCAGAGAAGTTGGGTTTGTAACCACTTAGCAGAGCCTGATCACAGTAGGTGCTTAAGAAGCAAAGGCAGCATCATTTTTATTAAAATTATTGCATTTTTGTCTTGTCCTCCCCACTAGAGAGGCAGCTGCTTGGTCAGATCTCCTGGGGTGCAGGAACCTGGCTTCCCATCCCAGCCTCACTCTCCAGCAGCTGTGTGACCTTGAACAAGTCTGATGACTTCTTCTTGCCTGGGCAGGCACAGCCCCGTTAGAGTGCCAGGGATGATGCTGAAGTTGCAGAGCCCTGACTCGCACCTGGGGAACCCGGGGATGCACCTGGGGAACCCTCCCGCCCCCGCCACCAGGTGCATGGGGGTGTGTCTGGGGAGGTAGAAATGCTAGCTGTTTTCTCACCTTGGGCAGCTCAGGGGTGGCTACAAGGGCCCTCCTGGCTGATGGAGGGGTTTTTCCACTGTGGGCCACTGGCTAACATTTGTGGGTTTTCAAACCTAAAAATATGCTCTTTTAGAGCATATCTGAGAAATCTGATCACCGAATAAAGCCATCAGACTTGAGGTCACAGTGAAAGTGTGTCCGTGGTTTTCGTAGCTGGAGAGCCTCTGCCTCAGTCTCCCCAGGGGCTGCAGCTATCAGTCTGCCAGTCTGCTCCCCTGTTGTTCAGTCACTCAGTTGTGTCTGGTTCTTTGAGACCTTGTGGATTGCAGCATGCCAGGCTTCCCTGTCCTTCACTATCTCCCAGAGTTTGCTCACACTCATGTCCATTGAGTCGGTGATGCCATCCAAGCATCTCATTCTCTGTCGCCCCCTTCTGCTGCTGCCCTCAATCTTTCGCAGCATCAGGGTCTTTTCCAGTTGAGTCAGTTCGAANATTATGTACTCTGCATATAATTTAAATAAGCAGTGACAATATACATCCTTGACATACTCCTTTCCCAGTTTGGAACCAGTCTGTTGTTCCATGTCTGGTTCTAACTGTTGCTATTTGACTTGCATACAGGTTTCTCTGGAGGCAGGTAAGGTGGTCTGGTATGCCCATCTCTTGACGAATTTGCCACAGTTTGTTGTGATCCACGCAGTCAAAGGCTTTGGTGTAGTCAATGAAGCAGAAGTAGATGTTTTTCTGGAACTCCCTTGCTTTTTCGATGATCCAACGCTGTCTAGGTTCATCATAGCTTTTGCTCCCCTGGTCCCTATTCAAATTAAAAGCCTCTTGGGTTTCTGCAGAAATGCCCAGGGCTGGTATCGAGGCCACCCAGCTACAGATCCCAGCATCCTGTTTGGGAATCCAGCTTGACTTCCTACCGAGGCAATCCCCTGATCCTGGGGTCTTCCTCAATGTGGTTGAATATCCCAGGGAGCTTACTAACAATGCCAACATTTGTATGGGACACTTTTGCTTGGCATGAGCCCAAACCGCCTTCTCTGGGGTAATTTGGAAATCTTGGTTTAAACTTGGTTTAATCCTCTCAGTGAGGATCAGCCACATGCCAGATAGAGTGCACTCTGCAACACTCTTCTGATGTGAGTGCTCTGAGCACCTCTGGTCCATGGATGGTGAAACTGAGGCACAGAGAGGCAAGGAGGTCTGTCCTGAAGATGGTGCTGGTGGAGCTGGGATGTGAAGTCTGGTAACTGGTCATCAGGGTTTCCCAGGTGGCTCAGCAGTAAAGAATCTGCCTGTCTGCCAATGCAAGAGATGCAGGTTCGATCCCTGGCTGGGAAGATCCCCTGAAGGAGGGAATGGCTAGCACTCCAGTATTGTAGCCTGGAGAATCCCAAGGCTAGAGCAGCCTGGTGGGCTACTGTCCATGGGGTCGCAGAAGAGTTAGACACGACTGAACAGCGACTGAGCCCACATGAACGGTCCTCCCTACCCCTCCCACCCTGCCCCCTGCTGCAGACCACCGTGCTGGCACTTGCTTCTCGGTGCTGATCGCAGGCCGCTGTGCGGGAGACCTCGCGGGCCACTACACCCACAGGCAGTGCTGCTGTGACAAGGGCAGGTGCTGGGCGGCTGGCCTGGCCCCTGAGCTGTGTCCTCCACGGGGCTCTGGTGAGTGGCTGGGGGTGCGTCCCGCCTTCCTCTACCCCAGAGCTCGGCCTGGGGGTTGGGAACCCGGGGGTACAACCGAGGCTTAACTTCCAACCCCACTCCCTTGCAGATGAGTCCCAGCGACTGTGTGCCCCGGGGCTCCCGCTCCTGCCCTCCTATCCGGGCCCCTTCCCCAGCCTCCCCGGCTTCAGATCCAGTGGCAGTGTGGGTCCTGGCCCAGGGCTGGCACGGCACAGCCCCCACGGCTCCAGTGGTCGTGGGGTTCCCAGCCTGGGCCTTGGAGATGCCAGCATTGGTGAGGATTTGGGAGGAGGGGTCCATGACCCCTCCGGTGGAAAAGGGGATCCAGGCCTCAGGGTCTGGACTGGGCTTTGGAGTGGGGGTCATGGCCTGGGCAGTGGGGATGACAATAGTCTGGGGGTGGGAGCAGATTGGAGATCCCAGCCTCCAAGGCTAAGTTTGAGCTTTGGGTGAGGGTCTAGGGCTGGAATTGGAGAAGGAAATGGCAACCCACTGCAGTATTCTCGCCTGGAGAATCCCTTGGACAGAGGAACCTGGTGGGCTATAGTCCAGGGGGTCGCACAGAGTCAGAGATGACTGAAGTGACTTGGCACCCACACTAGGGCTGAAATGGGGGTCCGGGGTCTCAGGCAAGTGGACGGTCTGAATTTAGGGCAGGACGCTGGGCTATAGTGGGAGAGCCTGGCCATAAGGGGTGGAGCCCCAGCCTCTGAGTGTGTGTCTGAACCCAGAGGCGAGGCCCAGACCCAGGGGCCCAGCCCTCAGTCAGGCACCCGCCCCCCTCCCCCCCCCCCCGTCGGCCCCACACGCAGGCACAGCCACGCTGAACCAGACCATCGACATCTGCCGACACTTCACCAACCTGTGTCTCAACGGCCGCTGCCTGCCCACCCCTTCCAGCTACCGCTGCGAGTGTAACGTGGGCTACACGCAGGACGTCCGGGGGGAGTGCATTGGTGAGCGGTGGCTGGGCTGGAGGTGGGGGCGCACCCTGCCAGACTCGGGCTCAGCGTCCTCCGCCCGCAGACGTGGACGAATGTGCCAGCAGCCCCTGCCGCCACGGAGACTGCATCAACGCCCCCGGCTCCTACCGCTGTCGGTGTCATGAGGGTTTTCAGGCGACGCTCACCAAGCAGGCATGCCTGGGTATGGCCGTCCCTTAGAAGTGGGGGTGCCAGGGGGTCTGGCTGGTATGCCTCCTTACCTCTTCTTAAAATAGAGAAATATTTATTAATTTATTTGGCTGCACCAGATCTTAGTTGTGGCATGCAAGATCTTTAGTTGTGGCATTCGAACTCTTAGCTGAGGCATGTGGGATCAGTTCTCTGACCAGGGATCTGACCAGGACCTCTGCATTGGGAGTTTGGAGTCTTAGCCATGGGACCACCGAGGGAGTCCCTACCTTGGTTCTCGCATCTTGCCACTCCTGCTCCATCACTCCATCCTTTCTTTGGATGGATCCTCTGCTTCCCTTCCTGAGCCCAGCCAGCCCTTCTGAGAGCCTTCTTGTGGTCTGTCCACTCTCTACCCACGCCTTCATTCTCCCAGTCACTCTGTGACTCCCAGGAAGAGGCCTCTGGGGTAAGCCTGTGCTGTCTGCTTCTGCCCCTGACACAGCCCTTCATCTGCCTCCAGGAGAGGTGGGTCAGGACCATGGAGAGCTCCTTGGCCTCAGATTCCCTGTGGAGTATAGGGGGTGACAGCCAAACTCCCCACAGCTTGCGGGGGCCACTAGGGACCCCCTTTGCCCTCTTCTATCACCCTGAGACCTGCCTTAATCTTCTCTCACTGGGAAGGATTTTTGTCCTTTCTGTATTCATTCTTTTTTTTTTAATTTTTTTTTATTGAAGGATAATTGCTTTACAGAATTTAGTTGTTTTATTTTTTTGCAGAGTGTTTACTTTTTATTATCAGATAGATTTAGAACGTTGATTATCACATTAGCTATTTTCTTAGCATTAACGTGAAGTACAGTAATTTATTTCCATGCATAAATCACTCTTTTTATTGACACTGTTTTTTATTAGTTAGATATCACCTACTGAAATTAACCTTTATTTATTTATTTATTTTTGGCTGTGCTGGGTCTTCATCGCTGGGCACGGGCTTTCTCTAGTTGCTTGCAGGGGCTTCCCATTTCAGTGGTTTCTCCTGTGCTGTCTCTGTGGAGCACAGGCTCTAGGATGCACAGGCGCCTGAAATTGCAGCACACACCTCAGGAGTCGTGGCTCCAGGCTCCAGAGCACAGGCTCCGCAGTTGTGCATGGGTTTAGTTGCCCTGCGGCACGTGGGATCTTCCTGGACCAGGAATTGAACCTGTGTCTCCTGCATTGGCAGGCAGATTCTTCACCACTGAGCCATCAGGGAAACCCGGTACTGAAATTAATTTTGATTAATTCTAATGATTAATTCATTGTTTCATATTTTACCATCAGGTCTTTAATGTTGCCCCAGATCTCTGCATAGTCTATAACCAGTGAGAGTTGATGAAATCATTAGTTTGGCCTTTTTAATTTTTTTCTCTTGGTACATATAAATTTTTTAATTGATTTTTTAAATTAAAGTATAGGTGATTTGCAGTGTTGTGTTAGTTTCATATGTACAGCAAAGTTTCAGATTCTTTTTCTTTATAGGTTATAAAACACTGAGCATAGTTGCTTGTGCATTCATTCATTTTTAAAAACCCTTTTAGCATCTTTATAGATATATAATTCTCATACCATAAAAGTAGCCTTTTAAAGTGTACATTTCAATGGCTTTTAGTACAAGCATAACCACAGTCTCAGTTTAGAACCTCTTTATCACCTCCTCTGCATTAGCAGTCATTCCAGAATCATCTATCTTCCCTTCCCTCCCCCCCCACCCCTCAGCAGTAGACTAGTCTACTTTGTGTCCCCATGGCTTTGCCTGTTCTGGGCATTTTGTATAAATGGAATCACACACTCTATGGCCTTTTGTGACTGGCTTCTTTCACTGATGCATCACATTTTCAAGATCCGTCCATGTGTCAGACTGTCATTCCTTTTTATTGTCAAATGCCATTCCATTATATGAGCAGACAACATTTTGTTTCTACCGGCACCAGTTGCTGGCTATTCGGGTTGTTTCCACGTTTGCTGTTATGGATAATGCCGCTGTGGAAATTCACATACACATTTAGGTGTGGACCTTTTATGTATTCATTATGTTTTTTCCCTCCCTATCTCCATTCCGCCCTCCCTCCCTTTCTTCCTTCTTCTTGCTTCAGTCCTTTTTTATTCAACACTGTACTTTGGTAAACAAATCATTTGTGCATTGCACTGACTGCCTTCTTTTAAATTAAACTATTTTTAAAGAAAGTTTTCTGAAAAAAAATATTTATTTATTTGGCTGCATCAGGTCTAAGTTGTGTTGCATGGGATTTTCCTTGTAGCATGTGGGATCTTTTGATGCCGCAGGCAGGCTTTTGGCTTTGGTGCACGGGCTTCTCTTTAGCTGTGGCTCCAGAGCATGCAGGCTCAGTGGTTGTGGCACTCCAGCTTGGTTGCCCCACCGCAAGTGGGGTCTGAGTTCCCTGATCAGGGGTCTAACCAGAGTGCCTGCATTGGAAGGTGGATTCTTAACCACTGGACCACCAGGGAAGTCCCTAGACTATTTTTTTGTTAGCTGATGGTTTTTGCCCTTTCCTTTTTAAATGCTGCTGTGATTCACACAAGATAAATTTAAACATCTAAAAGTGAAAATCTCAGTAATTCCCAATGTTGTGCAACCACCTTTCTTTCTTTCTTTTTTTTTTTTCAGGAAGATAAACATAGCATTTTTAAAGGTTTTAAAAAATAACATTTATTTAAAAAATTAAAAAATAAAAATAACATTTATTTTTTAAAAGCTAACAGTTGCATAATAGGAAACCAAAAAACACAAGCAAAAAACTAAAGTCATCCATTAACACAAGCAGTTTACTGTTTGATGTGTCCTTCTAGGTCTCATTTGTGTATTTACACAACTAAGCATCCATTTTTATGTAATAAAGATCATACAGTTATGTATTAATAATAAATATCATGATGTGTGCAACAGCATTTTTAAGTGAACAATTTGGTGGCATTTAGGGTATTTCCAGTGTCATGCAACCACCACCTTATTTTTCAATTCTTTTTTGCATTTTTAAGAATTATGGCACAATTACAGTGTAAAATTGACCAGTTTAACCCTTTTTTTCCATGACAGTTTATTATAAAATACTGAATATGTTCCCTGTACTATACAATAGGACCTTGTTTATCTATTTTCTGTGTAGTAGTTTGTATCTTACCCTTTTTAAGGGGACAAGTCGGTGGCATTTTTGTACATGCATAATTTCATGCAACCACTACCTCATTTTTTCAATTTTTTTTTTCATTTTTTCATCTTGGCGAAATATACATAACTTTTTAATTTTTTTGGATGCTCTAGGTTTTCTTTGCTGCTCACAGTCTTTCTCTAGTTGCAGTGCATGAGCTTCTCATTACAGAGCATAGGCTTTAGGCACTCAGGCTTCAATAGTTATGGCACATGTGCTTGGTTGCCCCTTGGCACGTGGGATCTTCCTGGACCAGTGATAGAACCTGAGTTCCCTGCATTGGCAGGATTTTTTTTTTTTCAGGAAGATAAACATAGCATTTTTAAAGGTTTTAAAAAATAACATTTATTTAAAAAATTAAAAAATAAAAATAACATTTATTTTTTAAAAGCTAACAGTTGCATAATAGGAAACCAAAAAACACAAGCAAAAAACTAAAGTCATCCATTAACACAAGCAGTTTACTGTTTGATGTGTCCTTCTAGGTCTCATTTGTGTATTTACACAACTAAGCATCCATTTTTATGTAATAAAGATCATACAGTTATGTATTAATAATAAATATCATGATGTGTGCAACAGCATTTTTAAGTGAACAATTTGGTGGCATTTAGGGTATTTCCAGTGTCATGCAACCACCACCTTATTTTTTAATTCTTTTTTGCATTTTTAAGAATTATGGCACAATTACAGTGTAAAATTGACCAGTTTAACCCTTTTTTTCCATGACAGTTTATTATAAAATACTGAATATGTTCCCTGTACTATACAATAGGACCTTGTTTATCTATTTTCTGTGTAGTAGTTTGTATCTTACCCTTTTTAAGGGGACAAGTCGGTGGCATTTTTGTACATGCATAATTTCATGCAACCACTACCTCATTTTTTCAATTTTTTTTTTCATTTTTTCATCTTGGCGAAATATACATAACTTTTTAATTTTTTTGGATGCTCTAGGTTTTCTTTGCTGCTCACAGTCTTTCTCTAGTTGCAGTGCATGAGCTTCTCATTACAGAGCATAGGCTTTAGGCACTCAGGCTTCAATAGTTATGGCACATGTGCTTGGTTGCCCCTTGGCACGTGGGATCTTCCTGGACCAGTGATAGAACCTGAGTTCCCTGCATTGGCAGGTGGATTCTTTACCACTGAGCCACCAGGGAAGTCCCTACATAACATGTTTTTCATCTTAACCATTTTTAAATGAACAGTTTGGAAGCATTTAGTGAGATGTTGTGCACCCACCACCTGACTTATTTAAAGGACTTTGAACATCTATTCATGGAGCACCTGTGTGTGCCAGGATGGAAGATGCAGATATGAGCTAGTGGTCCCAGTTGGCCCCAGGGGAGTTCACAGTCCTGCAACCTAATACCCATGCCAAACTAGTCTCTGACAGCCACATCTCATCCTATCAGGCTCCCACAGCCACGGGAGCTGTCCCTGGAAACACGAGGGCCGGGCTGGTCTCCCTGGCAGGACTGGCCCAATGAAAGGGTGGGTGCCAGGACCCTGTTGGGACCCCGCCTCTCCTGGTGTCCCCAGACCACAATGAGTGTGCAACTACCACCATGTGTGCCAACGGAGTGTGCCTGAACGAGGACGGGAGCTTCACATGTCTCTGCAAACCCGGCTTCCTGCTGGCACCCGGTGGCCGCCACTGTGTGGGTGAGAAACTGCAGGCTGGACCACAGGGGAACCCATGGGGATGGGGAAGAAGAGGAGAGGGGAGGTGGCAAGGGCGGGTGTGGCGTGGGGATGGGGTGGCTGGGACCTGTTGCAGTGCCCCCCCACGACCCCTGCAGACATCGATGAGTGCCAGACGCCAGGCATCTGCATGAACGGTCACTGCACCAACACCGAGGGCTCCTTCCACTGTCGCTGCCTCGGGGGGCTTGCGGTGGGCGCTGACGGCCGAGTGTGCGTGGACACCCACGTGCGCAGCACGTGCTACGGGCCCCTCGACCAGGGCTCCTGTGCCCGCCCCTTCCCCGGTGCCTTCACCAAATCCGAGTGCTGCTGTGCAAGGCCGGCCCATGGGTTTGGGGAGCCCTGCCAGCCGTGTCCCCCCAAGAACTCTGGTAAGAGCTTCAGCTGCCCCACCCCCATGCACTTTCCATGGCCCCCATGGCTCCCATGGGGTGGGGTGGATGTCTCTCCCCCAAGAAGAGACAGAGGAAAACTGTTCTTCCCACTGGAGCAGGCATCTTAGTCCCAGACCCTTGCCCAGCCCCAAGGGGGCACGTCTTGGGCATGGCTTGGCCTCAGCAATGGCCAATGGCCGCCCCTCTCTCCCTGTTCCTGCCACCGCAGCTGAGTTCCAGGCCCTATGCAGCAGCGGTCTTGGCATCACCACGGATGGCAGAGGTGAGTGGGGTGGGGCTGGGACCAAGGGTCAGGGACATGGTTGGCAACCCGGCCAGGTCACTGGGTTCCAGAAAGCATCACAGGCTGGGGGGGTCATTCTCCCATAGCTCTGGAGGCTAAATGTCCCAGATCAAGGGTGGCCTCTTTGGAGGCCGTAAGGAAGAGTCTGTCTCACACCTCTCTCAGCTTCTGGCACTTAGCTGTTAATCCTTGCCTGGTCGAAGCATCTCCCTGATCTCTGCCTTCATCCTTTTTTTTTTTTAATTTACAATGGTTCTGGTGTACAACAAAATGATTCAGACACTATATATATATATGATATATATACTTTTCAGTATATATATATTTTTTCAGTATATATATATGTGTATACACACACACACACACACACACACACACAAGTTTTCAGATTTTTTGCCCTTATAGGTTATTATAAAATACTGAGTTTAATTCTCGTGCTATACAGTAGGCCCTTGCCTGTTCTGTTTTATACAGGGTAGTGTGTATATGTTAGGGACTTCTTCCCAGGTGGCTCAGTGGTAAGGGATCAGTGCTGGAGTCATGGCAGATGTGGGTTTGATCCCTGCGTTGGGAAGATCCCCTGGAGCAGGGCATGGCAACCCACTCCAGTGTTCTTGCCTGGAGAATCCCAAGGACAGAGGAGCCTGGAGGGCTACAGTCCATGGGGTCGCAGCGTCAGACACTGCTGAGCACACATATATATGGGATAACATATATATGTTAATCCCAAACTCGTCTGCCTTCTTCTCGACACAGTGTTCACCCTGTGTGTCTGCGCCCAGACCTCCACTCTTATAAGGATACAATCACATTAGAATGGACTGTATGTCCATCTCCAAATAAAGTCACGTGCTGAGGTGATCCTGGGGATGAGGACTCCCACCTATGACACCATCCCTTCCTGTTACAGCCTTCCTGCCTGAGCAACAAATAAAGGATTTAGGATACAGCCAGGTTTCCCATCCCCCACTGGGCCACGGGGGCAGGACAGATGTCCAGAGCCCCTCCCTCAGTTAAAGGGACAGATTCTGGAGCCAAATGCCTGGGTTTAAATCCCAGCCAGCATTCTTTTTTTTTTGTTGTTTTTTTTTTTGACATATGGGGCTGCCTATTTTCCCCTGCCCCTTTGTGCCATGAGGGTTAGGGGATCTCAGTTCCCCAGCCAGGAGTTGAACCCAGGCCATGGCAGTGAAAGTACTGATTCCTAACCGCTAGACCACCAGGGAACTCCCCAGGCCCTACTGTTTACTGATTGAATACTGATCAAGTTACTTCCCACCTCTGCACCTCCTTTTCTGTAAAGTGGATATACTAGCAGGTTCCATTTCAGGGATGTTGTGAGGACCAAATGAGTTAATATACTCAGCACAAAACGGTAAGCATCTTATAACATTAGTGATTATGATCGTGCTTTAAAAGAAATTCTGTTGCTGATGTAATAATGTCTGTTCCATGAGTTCCACACCTGTTCCCCCAGGTGCCATTTGGCAATGTCTGGACAAATATTGGGGATGGTGCTCTTGGCAGCTCATGGGTAGACGCTGGGGATGTTGCTCAACATTGCATGGGTTCCCCACCCCCTCCGACTCCACAAAGCAAAGAATGATCCGGCTCCAAATGTCCATGGTGCTGAGAAACCCTGGTTTCCAGGGGAAGGAGGCAGGGTCTAGGTTGGAGCTCTGGCCCCGGAGGACCAGGCTTCTGGAGCCTCCAGGGAGCCGGGGCAGCTGCTGATGCTGTCTTCCTGCTGCAGACATCAATGAATGTGCCCTCGACCCTGACGTCTGTGCCAACGGCATGTGTGAGAACCTGCGGGGCAGCTACCGCTGCGTCTGCAACCTGGGCTACAAGGCAGTCGCGGATGGCAGGGAGTGCACTGGTGAGCGTGCCGGGCGAGTGGACAGGTGGAGGGGGTGCCACCCCCACTGCACACCCCTCACCCTGCTCTCCGGCCCCATCCTTGCCCTGCAGATGTGGACGAGTGCGCCCTCAACAGCCTCCTGTGTGACAACGGGCGGTGCCGCAACAGCCCGGGCAGCTATAGCTGCTCCTGCCCCCAGGGCTTCAGCTTCCGGCCAGACACGGAGACCTGTGAAGGTACAGGGTCCTGGGGGCACGCAGACACGCATACACACACAAGTACTTACGCACACTGCATGCTATGGGTACACATATGCTGCCAGACGCATGTATACCTGCATTCACCCTCACAGACATGCTCAAAGGCATACAAGTATTCATACTCAGTCTCACAGTTACACTCTTAGGTACACACTCACACATAACCACATTCACACTTATTCTCACTGATGTGAAGAGCCGACTCATTGGAAAATACCTTGATGCTAGGAAAGATTGAGGGCCTGAAGAGGAGGCGGCAACACAGGATGAGATGATTAGATGGCATCACTGACTCAATGGACATGAGTCTGAGCAAACTCCAGGAGATGGTGAAGGACAGGGAAGCCTGGCATGCTGCAGTCCATGGGGCCACAAGGACATGACTAAGTGACTGAACAATTCTCACTCTTTACACATATGCTCATAACCAGAGTTACACCCTCAAAGGCACACCCTTATGCAGACACTCTGACATTCACACACTTGATCACTTGATTACACACACCAGTACTCACACAAAATAGATTTATACACCCATATTCACATTCATAGTCACAGTCCCACACATCATACACTCTCATGTGCACACTCTCAAAGACACATGTGTGTCCACATTTTTACCCCTCGCACACTTAGGCTCACAGCCACACACTCTTACATGTGTAGATACCACATACCCACATAGTTGTGCATTCACACACATATATACTCACACACAGGAGTATGTGCCCACCCGCCCTCACACACACTTGGTTGCAATGACCTTGTTCATTACAGACCCCTGGACACTCATAGATGCCTGCAGGAGAGCGCGCACACACAAACAAACACAAACACACACAGAGTTAAGCGCAAGCCTCCAGTGGACTGCCCCGCCCCCAGGTCTCCCCCCGCTCTGGGTTTTCCTCCCGCCTCTCACCGTCGGCCTCTCTTGTGCCATGACTGACCCTTGCAGGGCCGCCGTTCCCCACTGTGCCTGGCCTTGTACACTTTCACACGTGCGGGCTCTCGGGACCCTGCGTGTTGGCGTGCACACGCAGGTGCACTGCGCAATTTAAGGCAAACACGCTCCTCTGCGCCTGCCCAGTCCGTTCCCGCGCCTTCTGACCGCCTGCGCCCCCTGCCGTTGGACTTTGGCAGCGGCGGAGGGGAGGGGCCTCAGGTCGCTTGCGGCTCCAGATCCTGCAGCTCAGTGACCTGATGGGGGTCCGGGGCGGGTTGTCTTTGTAGACATCGACGAGTGCCTGTCCAACCCGTGTGTGAATGGCGTGTGCCGCAACCTGGCCGGCTCCTACGCCTGCGAGTGCGCCCCTGGCAGCCGCCTGGGACCTTCTGGCACCGTGTGCCTAGGTGAGAGGCCCCACGGAGCAGCCGGGACCCAGACGCCCGCCCAGGGGAAGCCTGGGTCTCCGCGGGTGATTGTGCAGGTGTGGGCCTGCCAGATGAGCCAGACGGCCTCTCCCCACAGACAGCACCAAAGGCACGTGCTGGCTGAAGATCCAGGATGGCCGCTGCGAGGCGAACCTGCACGGAGCCACCCTGCGTTCCGAGTGCTGCGCCACGCTCGGCACGGCCTGGGGGAGCCCCTGCGAACGCTGTGACATGGGTAATGCCCTGGGGGGGCCGGCTCTGGGGCTCCCTGGCCATTGAAAGAACCGTGGGGGTGCCAGGTCCCCTGGATCCGGGTGGAGAGAATGACTCCTCTCCCCAATCACAGACCCCGCCTGTGCCCGAGGCTTCGCCCGCGTGAAAGGGCTCAGCTGCGAAGGTAACTCCCCACCCTGTGCCCTTCGCCGCCACTCCCCCAGCACCACCACCAAGAGCAGGCAAGTGTCATGGTGGCTGCCTAAGGCCCTCTCTGAAGTCACTGGAGATCTCCCTCCTTGGTATCCAGGTCTTCCCCACAATCTCCCAGCCCAGGAGGCTGGCAGTGCCTCTTCCCACCTCCCCAAGAACCACGTGGTGTCCTGAGCCCCTAGGGAGCCAGCTCCCTGGGAGCCTCCAGCTCTCACTTCTCCTTGCTTTCTGCTGCCTAGATGTGAACGAGTGTGAGGTCTTCCCTGGCATCTGTCCCAATGGGCGCTGCATCAACACTGCGGGCTCCTTCCGCTGCGAGTGTTCAGAGGGCCTGATACTGGACACCTCCGGCCGGCTGTGCATAGGTGAGTGTGAATTCACCTATAGGCCTGCAGGGTCCCGTGTAGGGCCTGCCTCCACTCCCAACAGCCCTTCCTAGGGACAGGTGGGGTCTTGGGGGTCCTCTTGGACTCTGCCCACCCCCTTGCTAATGTGTCTCCAAAGACATTTGTTTTTTGGAGGGGTTGGATCCACTTAATCAACTGCCCTTCTAATGAAGCTCATTGCAAATGGTATAATCTTGTGGAATGTTACCTGCCACCTTGGTCTATTCTTTCTTGCTACCAAAGAAGGTTTACAGGAGGTGGATTTGAACACGAGGCACCTCCCTCTATCATGAGTGGTAATTCATGCCTGCAACCCTTCCCCAGGGTCCAGGGCTCAAACCCTTATCCTGAATGACTTGCCCTCAGTCTCAAAGGCTCTGAGATATTTCCCCCCCTCAAGGAGTGCTTCTTGCTTTACACCATCAACATCTTGAATAGGACATTTCTTGTCCAAAAGTATCCACCAGCCAGCAGGTAGGGCTCTGCATTCTATCAGTTTTTCCTCCCATAGTAACATTAACCCATTAGTGGCCTCCTCAGTGGCACCATGAAGCCTGGTCAACAGAAGGCAGATGGGCCCTGATGACTCTTTTCAACTTTGATTTCCTTCTAAATGAGCTTCAGGTGTGCATCAGGTCTTCTTGCTGATCCCAGAATGTGACCAAGGAAAGAAAGTAGCCGAGTAAAGAAAAAATAAAAACACTGCTGAATTCACAGCCAGGTGAAATACTGTCTGAGCAGCCCTGGACCAAGGCATTGGGTACCCAGGAACTTAAGATGGATCCCTGTGTGTCACGGCACTTCTGTTTATCTTTATTTTTTCTAAAGATTCTGTAACAGGGTCTCATTCTCAAATGGATCCACTTAAACATGTATTCCTTTTGCAAGGAGTGAAAAATTGTCCTAGTCTAGGGATCAGCCAGTTGTTTCTGCAAAGGGCCAGAGAGTAAATATTTTCAGCTTTAGGGGCCTCACAATCTGTTGCAGCTACACACCTCTACTGTGTAGGACAGAAATAAATGAATGTAACTGTATATCAATAAAACTTTATTTACAGAAACAGGCAGCTGGCACCCTGGACCGTAGTTAACCAACCCCAGTCTTAGACCATCGTCTCTGGTATTGAGAAAGCCTTATCCATTGCCAGATTATTCTAAGGAGGTTTTACAAATTAATTTAAACACACACACTCTGGAGCCAGGTGGCCTGGTTTGAATCTCTCTCTACCTCTTACTGTGTGGTCTCAGGCCAGCTATCTAACCCATCTCTGCCTTAGTTTTCTTGCCTGTAAAATGGGCTTGATGATAACCATTTTTCTCTTGGTGTTATTTTAAAGACTACATGGGTTGATGAGCTTAGAACAGTGCCCAGCACATAGCAAGCAGCTAGCAGTGCAAGTTATTATTAAAATGTAACTTTGGGGGACTGCCCTCGTGGTCTAGTGGTTAAGACTTTGCTTTCCAATCCAGGGGGTACAGGTTCCTTCCCTGATCTGTGAGCTAAGACACCCCCCCCATTCCTCTAGGCCAAAAAGCCAAAACATGGAACAGAAGCAATATTGTAACAAATTCAATAAAGACTTTAAAAATGGTCCACATTAAAAAAAAATCTTTAAAAAATTTTTGTTTTAAAAAAATGTAACTGTTGGGTTATACCCTTATTCCAGTGTAACTGTTGGGAATTCCCTGTGGTTCAGTGGTTAAGACTCAGCTGTTTTTACTGCCAATGCCCTGGGTTTGATCCCTGGTCAGGGAACTAAGATCCCACAAGCCCTAAAGTGTGGGGAAAAAAAAAAATCACTTGGAGGACATGGAGTGTCAGCTGAAGAATTCAGTCTCCGCACTGGGGAGAAAGTTTCGGATGACACGGCCTGTTCTGGCAGCGAGTGTGGCAGGGGTGGGACTGGTGACCACCCCTCCTTGCAGACATGCGCCTGGAGCTTTGTTTCCTGCGTTGGGAGGAGGACGAGTGTGGGGCTGCCCTGCTGGGCAAGTACCGGATGGACGTCTGCTGCTGCACCGTGGGGGCCGCGTGGGGCACCGCATGCGAGGCGTGCCCTGAGCCCGAGTCCCCAGCTTTCACCAGCCTGTGTCCCCGGGGGCTGGGCTTTGCCAGCCGGGACTTCCTGTCAGGCCGTCCCTTCTATAAAGGTGCGTTTGGGCTTGGGGAGCCTGAAGAGGCTCCCCAAGAGGGCAGAGGGCAGAGCGTGGGCAGAGGCCTGGAGGTGGCAAGCAGATTTAGGAGAGACGAGATATCTGTGATCAGAGGGGTGAACACTCGGGAGGCAGGGGACTCGGGGACACGGAGTAGTGTGAAGTTTTGTACTGCAGTAGTGTGATGTTTGTACTGTTCTGTGATGTTTTGTACTCCTGTGCTGCAGATGTGAACGAGTGCAAAGCCTTCCCTGGGCTGTGTGCCCATGGCACCTGCCGCAACACTGTGGGCAGCTTCCGTTGCTCCTGTGCGGGAGGCTTCGCCCTGGATGCCCAGGAAAGGAACTGCACAGGTACGTACCTGCCTCTGCCTCAGGTGCCTGCAGGGACTGGTGGCCACAAACTAGAGGCACCTAAAAGGCAAAAACTGGCCTTGTTCTGCCTGCCTGCCTGCTATGTGACCCAGGGCAGCTCAGTACCCTTTCTGGGCCTCCAGGATCCTGGCTATAAAAGGAGGGGCTGGCAAAAGGCGGCACTAGTGGTAAAGAACCCTCCTGCTAATGCAGGAGACATGAGACACGAGTTCGATCCTTGAGTCAGGAAGATCCCCTGGAGAAGGGCACGGCAAGCTACTCCATTATTCTCACCTGGAGAATCCCATGGACAGAGGAGTCTGACAGGCTACAGTCCATAGGATTGCAAAGAGTCAGACACAAATGAAGCAACTTGGCATGGCAAAAGTGACCTCCAGCAACTTCCCTGGTAGTCCTTTGGCTAAGACTCTATCCTTCCAATGCAGGGGGCCTGGGTTCAATCCCAGGTCAGGGAAATAGATCCCACATACCTCAACTGAAAGGTCCTGCATGCCTCAACTAAGACCCAATGCAGCAAGTACATAAATTGATTAAAAGAAAAGTGAGCTCCAGGGGCCTGTAGGCTTTAAAGAAATTCCCTGCTCTCATCTGGGGGTGCAGTCACAGCACCTCCATTTCCCTGGCTCTGTTCAGCGCCTTGGGGCTCCCCTGCGGCCTTGGGTGTCTGCAGACGTGGAGGCCCGGCCCATGTCCACTGTCTCCACAGACATTGACGAGTGCCGCATCTCCCCTGACCTCTGTGGCCAGGGCACCTGTGTCAACACCCCAGGCAGCTTTGAGTGTGAGTGTCTCCGTGGCTACGAGAGTGGCTTCATGCTGATGAAGAACTGCATGGGTAGGCAGCCACCCCAGGGCAGGGTGGTGCCCACGGGTCTTGGAGCTGAGCTGGGGAATGGGGTGGGGGGACATTGCTGTCCCAGATGTGGGTGGAGGGGGCAGGAGTGGAGAGAAGCCATGCCCTAGCTGGGGACACAGCAGGTGTGGGTATCGTCCCCGGAGACTGCCAGACACTGGGTCTGGCATTCAGATGAGAAGCAGGGGGACCAAGATTTGGGCAGGTTCTCCCAGGGTGGGGGTAGCATGAGAAGAGGAGAGGACCCTGGAAAGAGGAGCCTCTTCCCTTTTCATTTTTCTCATTCATTCAGCGAACGTTTCACATGCATCTACTCGGGAGAACTATGGAGGACTCAGATACAGGGGGCCATTTCCTTGGCGCTCAGGCCCTAGTAGGATAAAACAAATCCCTAGACAAACGGAAAATAAAGAGCCACTGTCAGAAGCACTTGAAAGGGCTATATGGTGCAGTGTGAGCTGAGAACCCCAGGGATGTATCCCATTCTGTGGGGCCAAGAGAGTAGGAGTAATTGTGATGAAGAAGGGCTGAAGAGTTGTGCGGAGAAAGAACAGTGTGTGCAAAGGCCCTGGGGTGGATGTGAGGGCTGGAAGGAGCTGCTGTGGGGAGGAGGGAAGGTGGAAAGGGGGAACAGTGTGTGCAAAGGCTCCGGGGTGGGCCTGAGGGGTGGAAGAAGCTGTTGTGGAGAGGGGGGAAGGTGAAGGGGAAACAGTGTATGCAAAGGCCCTGAGGTTGACATGAGGGATAGGAGGAAGCGCCTGAGGCTGGAGTGGGGGGAAGGGGCTGAGATGAGTAGTAAGGCCCCTGGTTCCATGTACTAATGCCCGGTGGGGCTGGGTCTGGCCTTCCCCCTGTCTCTTCTGGGGTGGGGAGGGGACTCCTCAGGGCCTCCTTTAGCTCTAGGAATGTCAGCCTATGTCCCTGAAAACTCTGAGAATTCCAGCTTCCCTCCCATTCTGACTCCCCTGGCTCATCCACACCCCAGGGCTCCAGACCCTCTCAGCCTCAGCCAGGGCGACAGGGTTGGGGGATGGGGGCAATGGGGGGGAGCTTCCATGAGCCCCATCACACCAACCTGGGTCAGCATCTCACACCTCCTCTGTCTCTCCACATGCCCAGATGTGGACGAGTGTGCCCGGGATCCGCTGCTGTGCCGGGGAGGCACCTGTACAAACACAGATGGGAGCTATGAGTGCCAGTGTCCCCCGGGACATGCGCTGGCAGCCGAGGGCACTGCCTGCGAAGGTGAGTGTGGCTTGCGAGAGGGAGAGGACGTGTGTTTGTGCATCTCCCTGAGTGCATACTTGTGTATTGGTGTGCATGAGTGGTCGCATGCATCAGGTATTGGAAGAGCACACTTGTGTGTCTTTCTGTGTGAAAATGGAAAATCGAGTGTGTGAGTGTGGGTCAGTGTGGATCCATGTGAAGTGTCACTTGTGTGGTTGTGAGATGGAAGGAGTGTGTACTTGTGTGTCTGTGTGAGCATGCAGGTGTGTTTCTGGGGATGCGTCTGTCCAAGAGTGAGTGTGTATCAGTGTTTGTATGAGTCTGTGAGAGTGTGTCTACACAAGGATGATTGTTCTTAGGTAAGGCGATGGGAGCGGTTATTTGTGTGTCTACATAAGCTTGTCAGAGAGTGTGTGTCTAGGTGTGGGCATGTGTTTGCACACAGGTGGGTGTGTTTGTGGAGGGGGCTGTGTGCGTATAGGTGTGTCTGTTGCGTGTGTTTGTATGTGTGTACCCAGGGGTTGGGGCTTTCCCAGGGGTTCAGCAGTTAAGAATCTGCCCGCAGTTCAGGAGACACAGGAGATGCAGGTTCGATCCCTGGGTCGGGAAGATCCCCTGGAGGAGGGCATGGCAGCCCACTCCAGTATTCTTGCCTGGAGAATCCCCATGGACAGAGGAGCCTGGCGGGCTGCAGTCCATGCTGAGGGGGAGTGTGTATCAAGGGTGTGTTTTGGGTGTCTTGTGAGTGTGCAGCTGGGGGGATGTGTGGATCAGGGTGAGGTGCGCATTTATACTGGGCTTCCCCAGTGGCTCAGCGGTAGAGAATCCACCTGCAATGCAGGAGACATAAGAGACACAAGTTCAGTCTCTGGGTCAGGAAGATCCCCTGGAAGAGGGCATGGCAACCCACTCCAGTATTTTTGCCTGGATAATCTCGTGGACAGAGGAGCCTGGAGGGCTGCAGTCCATGGGGTCGAAAAGAGTCGAATATGACTGAAACAACTTCACGCACGTGTTTGTACCAGGGTGAGATGTAGACTCACACCCATGGAGGGGGGCCATAGATGCAAGAGTGTGAGTGCATCACCGTGCATGCATGTGTCCCAGTGCAGAAGGCGGCTGGGCACAGGCCCATCCTCTCCTGGGGCCCCTCCACCACCTGCTGCCCTTACCAGCCATCTGTTTCCCCTGCAGATGTGGACGAGTGCTCCCTGAGTGACGGCCTGTGTCCACACGGGCACTGTGTCAACGTCATCGGTGCCTTCCAGTGCTCCTGCCATGCCGGCTTCCAGAGCACGCCTGACCGCCAAGGCTGCGTAGGTAAGACCGCGCCCGCCCCCAGCCCCAGCCTCGGCCCCACCGCCACTGCAGTCACTCCTGGCCTCAGTCCGAGCCCCAGCCCCTGCCCTTGACCACCCCGCCGCCGCACCCCGCGACAGTCAGCCCCCTGCTTGAAGTGCCTCCGCCAGGTCCTCACCTCGCCCAGCCTCCCACTTCCACCTTGCCCCGCCTCCCATCACGTCCTACCTCCTCCCACACCCTCACTAAGCCCCGCCTCCCACCTTGCCACACTCCTGCCACGCCCCCACCTTGCCCCGCCTCCTGCCTTGTCGCGCCTCCGTCACGCCCCCCACCTCACCTTGCCTTACCCCCGGCGGTGCCCCCATCTCTCCCTGCCTCCTGCAGATGTGGATGAATGCCGCACCAGGAACGGTGGTTGCCACGTCCACTGTGTTAACACCAAGGGCAGCTACCAGTGCGGCTGCGGACCTGGCTACTCTCTGATGCCCGATGGGAGGGCGTGTGAAGGTAGGTGGATGCGGCCCCCTCCCTCCGGCCTGGGATGTGGGAACCCACCTGGCCCGGCCCAAATGAAGCCAGCCACACCCTAGCCGGGCCATTGACCCCGCAGACGTGTCCCTGGGGTTCCCCCTCTGTCCCTTCCCACATGGAGTCTGACCCCTACCCTGGTCCCCCAGATGTGGACGAATGTGAGCAGAATCCGGACATCTGTGACGGGGGCCAGTGCACCAACATGCCAGGGGGTCACCGCTGCCTCTGCTATGACGGCTTTGTGGCCACGCTGGACATGAGGATGTGTGTAGGTGAGGAGCTGGGACTACATACAGGTGGAGGAGGCAGCTTCACTTCACCCACCAGGCCTTCCACAAGGAGACAGGTGGGCGACACAGACACTAGTCCTGTTCCCAGAACACGCGGGCAGGGGAGATGCAGGTTTGTTCTTGGTGGTCTGCTCCTGGCCACCTGCACCCCGAGGCCCTGCACCGAGACCTGCGGGATCTTCTTCACAGCAGCAGAGGCCCCCCGAACCTTGTTCTTTTGAATACACTTATTGAACACCCACTGTGTACCCAGCGCATACAGCCGGGTGCGTGCCCGGCTTTGGGAGTCACCTTATAAAATCACCATAGGCCGAGGGCTTTATGCAGAGGAAGGTGCGTGAGATAGAAGGCGCTGTGTTCTCTGAGCCCTGCTTCGCGACCTTGTCTGTCGTCTCTGCCAGGGTCACTGTCGTCTTCTGGTGGGGGCTGGTTGGCACAGGCCCTGGGGAGCAGATGTGGACTCGTGACCCCATTAGGACAGAGCTGGGGCCAGAGTACGAGGATATAAGAAATGGAGCTCTCCCAGGGAGGTGTGTCCAGTTCAGGGCAGTTTAAGCATTCCAGATCACAGGAATCTTAGGAAACACTGAACAAAAGGGGCTTGGGACCAAGGTAAGTAGAAAATGCTGCCTCCTCCATCCCTTCATGCAGATCCACATTGGCAATAAAGGCTCTGAAAAGGCCTTCAGGCCTTAGCTTTAGCTTAGCATCCTCTTAATGTATTGGTGTAAAATCTTTTTGGGAATATATGTCCAATGTGTTCCATGGAATATGAACTATAGAATGTTGACTGAGTTCTCTCAGCTGCCCAGGGGTGGAATAGGGGGAGCTCTGCCCAGAAGTGGAATTAGGGGAGCTCCCTACCCTTGAAGATGGGCAAAAAGAACCTGGACACAGGGGACCCAAGTGGCAGGGCATGCAGCCATGCTGCTGTACCCCACCCTCACCTGCTTCTTCTCCTGTCACCCCCTAGACGTGGACGAGTGTGACCTGAACCCCCACATCTGCCTCCATGGGGTCTGCGAGAACACCAGGGGCTCCTTTGTCTGCCACTGCCAGCTGGGTTACGTCGTCAGGAAGGGGGCCATGGGCTGCTCCGGTGAGCTGGTGGTCAGTGGAGCAGACGCAGAGGGTTGCCCCGAGGGACCAGCTCAGGGTCCGTGGGGTCCACCCCATCCCATGGGATTCTGTCCCAAGGCCAGACCTCATTCTTACACATTTCCACTGGTGGGCCCTCGCGTTGAAGCAAAAATAGGATCTGATCACGTGCCCATGGGGCTCCCTTGACAGCTCTGTGGGGGGCACTCTGGATCCCTTAGCATCCACAGCAGTTCCCAAGGCTTGCAAGCCTGATGCTTTTAAGTGTCACAGCGATGAACATTCAAACATGTCAGTCATTCATGACCACAGACCTGGTGCCTCAGAACCAAGATGTCTCCTCTCTATACAACAGATCTGGAGGGCAGAGTCTGAGATCATGGTGTCAGAAGGGTTGGTTCCTTCTCAGGGGCCCAGAAGGAGAACTGGCCCATTCCTCTCTCCTCACCTCTGGTGGTGGCCATGATCCTTGAACGCATCACTCCAGTCTCCACGTCTGTCATCACGGGGTGTTCTTCTCTCTGCGTCCAAATTTTCCTCTTCTTATGAGATCACCGGTCATTGCATTTAGGACCCCCTGTGATCCAGGAGGACCTCATTTTAATTTGGTTACATTTACAAAGACCTGGTTTCCAAAAAAGGCTACATCCAGAGGTTCTGAGAGTCAGGATTGAAACTTGCTTTCTTGGGGCGGAGAACACAATTCTGTTCGCCATCATTATGTAGTTATTTCAATGCATACTAGAAGCAAACATTAGGAAACAGAGCATCCAAACCATGATTTCGTAGAGATTGTTGTTACACATTTTTCGTCTAAAGTACATTCGTGTAAGTAAAGATGGGAGACAGCGTAAAGAAACTTTTAGCGAGGGTTTCCCTGGTGGTCTAGTGGCTAAGACTATGTCCTGGCTCCCAGTGCAGGGGACACAGATTCGATCCCTGGTCAGGGAACTAGATCCCACATGCTGCAACTAAGAGTTCGCATGCCACAACTAAAACCTGGTGCAGTCAAATAAAACATTTTTTCTTACAAAGGAAAAGCTTTCAGGGAATGGTAGCTCACTTAGGTGGTTTATGAACATTGCAGAGATGATAAGGCTGATGCAAAATTGGCTGAGGGTTAGACACACTGGTTTAGAAGGAAATCCTGCTTTAGAGGGAGAGTGTATTCATTAAGACAGAGACTTTTTTCTTTTTTGGCTGTGCCATGTTAGTTCTCCAACCAGGGATTGAATCCAAGCCCTTCAGTGAAAGCCAGGAATCCTAACCAAGGACAGTTCCTCTTATTGTCTACCCTGAGTCTCTCATGCTGCCATCTCAGACCATTTCTGGGGCATGCTGGGAGTCATGCCCTGTTGGGCTTGGGGGTTTTCCTTTTGGGCTCTGGGTGAGGGTGGAAGCTCCTGCAGTGGTGAGGGGGCATTTCTGGGCCCAGTCCTACCCTAGGGAAGGTCTTTTCTCCTGCTCCTGCCCTGAGTCTCCCTACTCTGTACCTGAAGCCCTGTTTCTACTAGGCCCAGGCTTCTTAGGAGGTCCTCTGTCCTCCACCCCATCTCCTGGTCCTGCCCTCCTATGCCTGGATCCCTCTTCTCTCAGATGTAGATGAATGTCAGCTTGGGGGACACAGCTGTGACAGTCACGCCTCCTGCCTCAACACCCCTGGGAGTTTCAGCTGCAGCTGCCAGCCAGGCTGGGTTGGGGACGGCTTTGAATGCCATGGTAAGTGTCTGGGGGCCAGAGGTCCGGGCAGAGAAGCGGAGGTGGGTGGGGTGAGTGGGCAGGCTACAGCCGGGCAGAGGGGGCTGGGCTCAGGCACGTTCAGGGTTGGGATTTGGAGGGTCTGCCTCCCCACAGCCCCCCAACGCACACACCTGGGGGACCCTGGGTTCTGTCTCCTGCAGACCTGGATGAATGCGCCTCCGAGGAGCATGGGTGCAGCCCGAGAGCTGACTGCCTCAACGCCCCTGGCTCCTACCGCTGTGCCTGCCGCCTGGGCTTCTCTGGGGATGGCTTTTCCTGTGAAGGTGAGGTTGGGGCATGGGACGGGAGGGCTGGAGGGGTCCAGAAAGGACAGCCAAGGACTGATCCACTCACTGCTCTGTGGATGCCAGGAAGGATGAACCTTTAGCTCTTGGGGCCAGAGGCCAGGCCCTGAGTCCCTTGGGGCAGTCTTCTCCCCTGGACTCCAAATGCGTAGAGTTTTCTGGGTATGGGAACAGGAATACTTGCTTTCTGTTGGCGCTCCACCCCAAATTGTGAGCGACCGTGTCCCCTGTCCTCTTCCTGGCCCTGACTCAATCACCTGCCCACTGAGTCGGGGTCTGAGTCCCCCCAGGCTACTTGCCAACTCCCTGGAACTCCAGGTGACAGTGAAGGGTTCGAGTGATCAGGGCCGCCTGCCCCCACCATGTGGGTCCTCACCTGCTGACCACCAGCCCCCCACCTCTGAGTCCCCTTAGACAGGGACGAGTGTGCAGAGAACGTGGCCCTTTGCGAGAACGGGCAGTGTCTCAATGTCCCCGGCGGGTACCGCTGCGAGTGCGAGATGGGCTTCAGCCCCACCGAGGACCAGCATGCCTGCCAGGGTGAGGTCTGGGGCGGCCGGGGTGCGGGCAGAACAGGGGGTCCCTGGAGTCGCTGGCGCGCCCTGGGGGCAGCAGGAGCGGGATGCTGGCCAGGCTGTGCTCACCTGGGCTCCGCTCCTCCTCAGATGTGGATGAGTGTGTCCTCGGGAGCATTTGTGTGTTTGGGAGCTGTGAGAACCTGCCGGGGATGTTCCGCTGTATCTGCGATGAGGGCTATGAGCTGGACCGCAGTGGTGGCAACTGCACAGGTGTGGGGTCCACAGGGTTCGGGGTGGCAGGCTCGTTCCATCAGCTCCCACAGATCTCTTCTCACATGTCCTCTACAGAGTGGAGGGAGTCCTTGTCTGACCCCATCTCCAATAGTGCCCCTCCCCATTAACCTTCATCATCATCATCTTTTATCATCCCCCAAATAAATGCAGTGAATCAGGGAGATTTCCCTGGCGGTCCAGTCATTAAGATTCCGCACTTCCACTGCAGGGGGCGCAAGTTCAATCCCTGGTTGGGGAACTAAGATCTCGCATCCTGCATGCCATGCGACCAAAAGAAAAAAAGGACGCTGTAAATCAATGAAGTCGAGCTCCCTCCGCCACAACCATCAAAATGGCCCTCCCACCTGTCTATCCCAAATGGGGCTCAGCAGACTTTTTCAATGAAGGGCCAGCCAGTAAACATTTTCAGTTTCCGGCCATATGGTCTTTGCCCTGTAGCTTAGAAACAGACATAGGTGATAAGTGAATGAATGGCTGTGCTTGTGTACCAGTAAAATTTTATTTACACAAACAGATAGGGGGCCGGATTTGACCCACAAGGTGTAGTCTGCCCGCCCCGGCTTGAAACATGTCCTCAATATCGGTTTTTGTATGTTAGCTCGTGGACTCTGCTGGCAAAGGCAAACCTCCATGCCAAGTAGAAAAGAGCAGGGGATGGCAGGGGTTGCCTGGGACAGGCTACTGTCCCATCAGGCTTTCTTCCCAGGAGCCTTGTCCCTAAGACCGGCCCCCAGCAGCCGGGTATTCGTCTCCCCAGGAAAAAGGCAAGAGGGAAGTGAGTTGAGAGGGGAGGATCCCTGCTGATGGTGCCCCCACCCCACAGATGTGAATGAGTGTGCAGATCCTGTGAACTGCATCAATGGCCTGTGTGTCAACACCCCCGGCCACTACCTTTGCAACTGCCCCCAGGATTTTGAGCTGAATCCCAGCGGCGTGGGCTGCGTGGGTAAGTACACACTCTGCTACAGGTAGGGTTCTTGGGTCCATGCGCTGGATGGGGTCATGCTGTGTCACCCACATCCACCTGCTCCTGACAGACAGGCCCTTGGCCAGAGCAATCATCCCTGTCTTTTGAGATACAGCCTTTGGGCTCTAGACTGACAGATGCTCAGAGTCACACGTGCACACAGACATGTGCACACACAGACATACATAGAGTAATGCACAGTTACACATACAAAGAGGTGCACACACACACAGACACACACACCCTATTTCTCCCCCACCACTTGCTAACCACCCCTTTCTGCCTGTTTAGATACCCGGGTTGGGAACTGTTTCCTGGACACACAGGATCGAGGGGACGGTGGCATTTCCTGCAGCGACTGGGGGCAGCAGGAGCGGGATGCTGGCCAGGCTGTGCTCACCTGGGCTCCGCTCCTCCTCAGATGTGGATGAGTGTGTCCTCGGGAGCATTTGTGTGTTCGGGAGCTGTGAGAACCTGCCGGGGATGTTCCGCTGTATCTGCGATGAGGGCTATGAGCTGGACCGCAGTGGTGGCAACTGCACAGGTGTGGGGTCCACAGGGTTCGGGGTGGCAGGCTCGTTCCATCAGCTCCCACAGATCCCTTCTCACATGTCCTCTACAGAGTGGAGGGAGTCCTTGTCTGACCCCATCTCCAATAGTGCCCCTCCCCATTAACCTTCATCATCATCATCTTTTATCATCCCCCAAATAAATGCAGTGAATCAGGGAGATTTCCCTGGCGGTCCAGTCATTAAGATTCCGCACTTCCACTGCAGGGGGCGCAAGTTCAATCCCTGGTTGGGGAACTAAGATCTCGCATCCTGCATGCCATGCGACCAAAAGAAAAAAAGGACGCTGTAAATCAATGAAGTCGAGCTCCCTCCGCCACAACCATCAAAATGGCCCTCCCACCTGTCTATCCCAAATGGGGCTCAGCAGACTTTTTCAATGAAGGGCCAGCCAGTAAACATTTTCAGTTTCCGGCCATATGGTCTTTGCCCTGTAGCTTAGAAACAGACATAGGTGATAAGTGAATGAATGGCTGTGCTTGTGTACCAGTAAAATTTTATTTACACAAACAGATAGGGGGCCGGATTTGACCCACAAGTTGTAGTCTGCCCGCCCCTGGCTTGAAACATGTCCTCAATATCGGTTTTTGTATGTTAGCTCGTGGACTCTGCTGGCAAAGGCAAACCTCCATGCCAAGTAGAAAAGAGCAGGGGATGGCAGGGGTTGCCTGGGACAGGCTACTGTCCCATCAGGCTTTCTTCCCAGGAGCCTTGTCCCTAAGACCGGCCCCCAGCAGCCGGGTATTCGTCTCCCCAGGAAAAAGGCAAGAGGGAAGTGAGTTGAGAGGGGAGGATCCCTGCTGATGGTGCCCCCACCCCACAGATGTGAATGAGTGTGCAGATCCTGTGAACTGCATCAACGGCCTGTGTGTCAACACCCCCGGCCGCTACCTCTGCAACTGCCCCCAGGATTTTGAGCTGAATCCCAGCGGCGTGGGCTGCGTGGGTAAGTACACACTCTGCTACAGGTAGGGTTCTTGGGTCCATGCGCTGGATGGGGTCATGCTGTGTCACCCACATCCACCTGCTCCTGACAGACAGGCCCTTGGCCAGAGCAATCATCCCTGTCTTTTGAGATACAGCCTTTGGGCTCTAGACTGACAGATGCTCAGAGTCACACGTGCACACAGACATGTGCACACACAGACATACATAGAGTAATGCACAGTTACACATACAAAGAGGTGCACACACACACAGACACACACACCCTATTTCTCCCCCACCACTTGCTAACCACCCCTTTCTGCCTGTTTAGATACCCGGGTTGGGAACTGTTTCCTGGACACACAGGATCGAGGGGACGGTGGCATTTCCTGCAGCGCGGAGATCGGGGTTGGCGTCACCCGGGCGTCCTGCTGTTGCTCCCTGGGTCGGGCTTGGGGCAACCCCTGTGAGCTGTGCCCACCGGCCAACACCAGTGAGTCCCTGAGTGGAGTGGGGGCAGAAGACAGAGCCCTAGCCCTGGTCCAGGCTCCCTCAGGGCTTAGGGGGTCATCTCTGCTAAGGGAGAGACACTGGGAACCAGTGAGGGAGAAGGACTCACCCTGGGTCACACAGCATATTCTCAGCAGTTCGTCGTCTTGACCTCTCCCCAAAGTCTCCTCTGCCATTCTCCCTGAAAATTCTTTGTATGTTTACATTTACTTGCCCACTCAGTCAACAAACGCTGAGAATTCCTAGGGCATGGGAACCTAGAGAAGGATGAAATACAGCCACTGCATGCTGCCCCTCACCCGTAAACCAGCAGTCCCTGGACTGTTGAGAGTAGAACTGTTCTAAGAGTCTGTTTGAGACATAGTGATGGCCAAAGAGGAAGCCATGGAGAGGAAGGGGGTAAGAAAAGGCTTCCCAGGAGAGGGACTTGAATGAGGTTTTGAAGAATGAGTAGGAGTTTTCCAGGCAGCGTAGAGGGAAGGGTGTGTAGTGCAGTGGGAACAGCATGTGCAAAGTCCTCAGGTGTGGTGCAGGGAGGCATGTGTCTACCTATTTCGGGGCATATGTGTGTGTGTGAATGTACATGCAGGATCTTCCTTTCCTGGGGGAAACTTGTGGTCACATTAGAGTCTGGTTTTGGATCACAAGAATCCTTCCTCCCTATCCCCAACTACCACCACAAGATCCATCTGCTCACATGTTGAATGTGAACAAGTGTTTACACACACACACACACAGACACCAGATCCTCCATGATTGTACCAATGTTTCTAGGTCCCAGAGGCTGAGGAGGTAAAGGGATGTAGTTTCTATGGTAACAGGATGCCAGGCCCATCCTTGACCCCTTTTTAGGGGACCTCCCCTCCCGTGCTTCCCCTGAGCTTTGCCCAAATGCCTCACCCCATGGCCCCTCACAAGAGTTTCTTTCCCTTGCAGCTGAGTACAGAACCTTGTGCCCAGGGGGTGAGGGCTTCCGGCCTAATTCCATCACTGTCATCCTGGAAGGTGAGTTCCTGGTAGACTATCCATCCAGGTACCCACTGATTGACCTTCCTCTCATCTCCCATCACCAAGGAGCAGAGGTGGGCAACTTTGGGGTGGGGGGCAGGTCCTCTCAGCTCTTCTACCTGTTGGTTTGTTGATTCATCCTTCTATCCAATCCCCATCTACCCATCCATCCATCCCCCATTTACCCATCCATATATTCTTCCCCATCCATCCATCCACCCTTTCTTCTTTCCTTCCTTCCATCCATTCATCCATATATACATACATATAAGTACGTTTATCCATCCACTCATCTACAATCCATCCATTCATCATCTACTTACCTACCCACCCACCCATCCAGCCAGTCATTCTTCTTTTCATCCATTGACCCATTTACTTATTAGACCCATTCTCTGCTTTTCATATCCACTTATCTACCCATTTATACATCTATCCTCCCATATCCATCCATCCACACATCCATCCACCCATCTACTCGTTCCTCCTTTCATTTATTCATCCACCTACTCACCCACCTATTCATTCACACTCTTGTTCTTGTCCATTGACATTGTTGTTTATTCACTTATCCACTACTTTTCATCTCTATCCACCCACTTACCCACCCATTCATCCATCTATTCTATCCAAAGTGGATAATGAGATTGGAGAATTCCATCAAGAGGGAGCTTTGTGATGGATAGATGGATGGATGAGAGGATGGACTATCCAATGAAGGGAAAGAGGATGAATTCAGGGTGACATTGACCCAGGAGAGTCTGGGTACACCCTCTAAATATCCAACAGCCCTTGGGTGTCCTTAAAGAAGCAGGAGGGCCCAGGGGAAGGCATGGGTGTCCCCCAAGTACTCCGCTTGGGTGTAGCTTCCAAGCACAGCTTCCTCACTTCCTGACAGACATTGACGAATGCCAGGAGCTGCCAGGGCTGTGCCAGGGGGGTAACTGTGTCAACACCTTCGGTAGCTTCCAGTGCGAGTGCCCACCCGGCTACCACCTCAATGAAGATACCCGCATCTGTGAGGGTGAGCTTGAGCCCTCTCCTCCCTGCCTGCATTTCTGCCCAGCCTCACCTCCTCTTCAGGGCCTGGGGGGCTCACATGCCCCACTCCAGAAGTCTGCTCACTTGCCTTGCTGCCCAGGGCCCACTGGAAGGGCTGTGAAGGCTTCCTTGGAATGCCCCAATCTACCCTCTGCTCCACTGCTTCTTCCCCATCTCCCTGTTGCCTGACCTCCAGCCTCCTTCCCACTCAGAAATGATCTGGCTTTATCGCAGCAGCCATGCCCTTCCTCTGGGCAAAAGCTGACCAAGGCCCAGAGCTAAGAGGGGAAGAAAAAAGACACCAAAAGAGCAGTCACACCTTTCCTTTAAGCATCCCCTTCACTTGTCTCTAACGGTCCTCTCTTGCATCTTAGCAACAACCGACAGTTAACTGGTGTCTGTGATTGTGTGTCACCATGGAGCTGAGCATTTGCCATTCATTCATTTACCAAAACAGCCTCATGGGGGAGATGTTCCTATTATGACCCCATTTTTCAGATTCAGAAACTTAGGGAGTTAATTAAGTCACTTGAGTGGTGAAAGTGAAAGTGTTAGTCATTCAGTCATGTCCAACTCAGCAACTATAGCTCACCCAGGCTCCCCTGTTCCTGGGATTCTCCAGGCAAGAATACTGGAGTGGGTTACTATTCCCTTCTCCAGGGGATCTTCCTGACCCAGGGAATCAAACCCAGTCTCCTGCATTGTAGGTGGATTCTTTACTGTCTGAGCCACAATACCAGATAGTAAGTGATAGAAACTGGGTCCCAGCCCAGCCATTCTGATCCTTGAGCCTGAGCTGTTTTGATACAGTGTATCAAATTCTTCCTTCCTTCATCCATCCATCTGTCATTCCTTTTTTTCTTTTCAACAATATTAACTGAGCACCTGCATGCAACCAGACACCAGCATCATCAGGCAAGGACAGCAGATTGTCCACTCTGAGCAGCACCCTTTAGCTGTTGTTCAGTCGCTCTGTCATGCCCAGCTCTTTGCAACCCCGGGGACTGCAGCACGCCAGGCTCCCCCTCTCCTTCACTATCTCCCAGAGTTTGCTCAAACTCATGTCCATTGAGTCAATGATGCCATCCATCCATCTCTTCCTCTGTTGCCCCCTTCTCCTCCTGCCCTCAGTCTTTCCCAGCATCAGGGCCTTTTGCAGTGAGTCAGTTCTTTGCATCATGTGGCCAAAGTATTGGAGCTTTAACTTCAGCATCAGTCCTTCTAATGAATATTCAGGGTTGATTTCCTTTAGGATTGACTGGTTTGGTCTCCTTGCTGCCTGAGGGACGCTTAAGAGTTTTCTCATGCTTTAGAGACTCAAGGAAATGGTAAAGCCTGGGAGAGATCTAAGCTCGAAAGCCTCTGTGTACGTGTAGGTGGGAGCTGGAAACCAGAATCAGAACCCAAAATGCTTGAAAAATATTTCATGCCTCCCTGCTTCCCCTATCCCATAGACTATCAAAAGGAAAAGGGAAAACTTCTGTCATCAAATACGGCTGCTGCTACTGCTGCTAAGTCACTTCAGTTGTGTCCGGCTCTGTGCGACCCCATAGACGGCAGCCCATCAGGCTCCCCTGTCCCTGGGATGCTCCAGGCAAGAACACTGGAGTGGGTTGCCATTTCCTTCTCCAATGCGTGAAAGTGAAAAAGTGAAAGTGAAGTTGTTCAGTCGTGTCTGACTCTTCTCTACCCCATGGACTGCAGCCTACCAGGCTCCTCCGTCCTTGGGATTTTCCAGGCAAGAGTACTGGAGTGGGGTGCCATTGCCTTCTCCTCAAATATGGCAGTGTGCTGCAGTTATTGACTGTCACAGGGCAGGAAGATTTCAACGTGGATGTTGACCTTGGCTGTGGAGCCTTGCAGAGTCAGTCCGTGCCCTTGAGGGCTGCAGTCTGGCAGTACTTTCCAGCTTTCAGGCTCAAGGGCCCACTACTCTGAAGCCCCCAGCCTTCTCCACTTAGTTTAATGCTCTGCTGTTGCCATCTTGAAATTCTTCAAGGGTTTTCATGTGCACTGGGCAAATTCTATAACCAGTCCTTGTCGAAAATTTTATCTAACTCCTAGAATCACTAAGTCACATGGCGATTCTGTGTTTGAGTTTTTTGAGGAACTGCCAAACTGTTTTCCACAGCAGCTGCACCATTTTGCATCTTCACCAGCAACATACAAGGGTTCCAGTTTCTCCACATTTGTTATCAACACTTGCTACTTTCCATCGTTTAAAGTAATATTATCCTAGTGGGTGTGAGGTGGTTTCTCATGGTTGTGATTTGTGTTTCCCTAATGCCTAATGAGGTTGAGTACCTTTTCATGTGCTTATTGGCCATTTATCTTCTTTGGAAAAAATGTCCTTTCAGGTCTTTTGCCCATTTAAGAATTGGGTTGTTTGTCTTTTTGTTGTTGAGTTGTAAGAGTTCTTTGTATATGCTAGACAAGACTCCCATCACCTAAGTGATTTGCAAAGAGTTTCTCCCATTCTGTGGGTTGTCTTTTACTTTCTTGATAGTGTCATTGATGCACAATAAGTTTGAATTTTGATGAAATCCAGCGTATCTGGGATTTTTTTGTTTCCTTTTTGGTTTGTGCTTTTGGTGTCATATCTAAGAATTTATTGCTAAATACAAGGTCTTTAAGATTTACCTCTGTGTTTTCTTTCAAGGATTTTATGTGTTAGCTCCCCTATTTAGGTCTTCTATGTATTTTGAGTTAATTTTTGGATATGGTGCAAGGTAGGATCCAACTTCATTCTTTTGCATGTGGATATCTAATCATCCCAGCACCATTTGTTGAAAAGTATCTTTTTTTTCCATTGAATAGTATTGTTGAAAATCAATTGACTGTAGATGTCTGGGTTTATTTCTGTACTCTAAATTCTATTCCAATGATTTATATGTCTATCCTTATACCAGTACCACACTCTTTTGATTACTTCAGCATTGTAAGTAGGTTTAGAAATGGGGAAGTCTGACTCCTCCAACTTTTTTTTTCTTTTCTCAAGATTGTTTTGGCTATTTGGGGTCTCCTACAATTCCATATGAGCTTTAGGGTCAGCTTTTCCATTTCTGCCCAAAGAAGAGAAGTCACTGGGATTTTGATGGGAATTGCATTGAATCTATAAATCACTTTGGGGAGTATTGCCATTTTAACAATAATGAGTCTTTTAATTCATCTCCACAGGCTATCTTTTCATTTATTTAGGTCTTATTAATTTTTCTTAGGAACATCTTATAGTTTTCTGTGTACAAGTCTTTCACTTCTTGGGCTGCACTTATTCTTAAGTATTTTATCTTTTGGATGCTAAGTGGAATTATTTCCTTAATTTCACTTTTAATTACTTTTTGATAGTGTGCAGAAATACAACTGAAATTTGTCAATGTTTTGTTGATCTTGTATTCTGCAATTGTGCTGACCTCATTTATAGTTCTAATAGTTTTCATTCTGTGGATTCTTTAGTATATCCTATATGTCAAGTTCCCTGGTTTTTTAAGTTTTTGACTGGGTCCCAGATTTCCTCAAAAGTTAATTTTGTCAGTTTTTGCCCAACTCCGTAGTTGTTTTTTGTGGAGGAGTAGAACTCCAACATTCCCTACTCTGCCATTTTTAGAAATGTCACTCCTAGTGAAATAAATCACCACTTGTTTCTGTGTAGCCCATTAAGAATGCTTTTTAAACTTTTAAAAATTTTTGGAAAAAAATCAGAAGAAGAATAATATTTTGAGCCACATGAAAATGACATGAAACTCACATTTCGGTGGCCATAAATCAAGTTTTATTAGAGCATGGCATGCTAATTTGTTTTCTCATTGTCTATGACTCATTGCCTATGGCTGCCTACACGCTCCCACGGCAGTGTGAAAAGCTCATCAGAGACCATTGTTGCCTGAAAATACAGAAAAAAAAGCCCTGGTGGCTTAGGAGTAAAGAATCTGCCTGCAGTGCAGGAGACAGAAGAGATATGGGTTTGATCCCTGGGTTGAGAAGATCCCCTGGAGAAGGAAAGGCAACACACTCCAGTATTCTTGCCTGGAGAATCCCATGGAAAGAGGAGCCTGGTGGGCTACATTCCATGGGGTCACAAAAGGATCAGACACAACTAAGCGACTAAGCAGCAATTTGCTTTGCAGAAAAAGTTTGCTGCCTCTGGACTAGGGGGTTGATCTGATTGAGAATCAACTTTTTTCTTTCAAGAACATTTTATTTGAAGGACTCTTGCTTCCTATTGCATCACACTGGGAAGCATGGGATTGCCCCACTCTTGGCGATAATATTTGTAAGCTCAGGTCATATTTTTTCTTAATAGAGCAGAGATCATAGTAAACTGTTTTCCCCACCTAACACCATGCCGTGTCTTTCCACAGCACTAAGGTATCTGCATTTGAAGCTAATCTTGAAACTAGACTCAAGCATGTAGTAAAGTGTTTCTGGCAGACCTGGGGTGGGGAATTATCCAGATGATTCCTGGATACAGACAATTCCTCCCTCCCTTGCAGACATCGACGAATGCTCTGCACACTCAGGCATCTGTGGCCCTGGTACCTGCTACAACACTCTGGGGAACTACACTTGTGTCTGCCCTATGGAATACCTGCAAGTCAACGGTGGCAATAACTGCATGGGTATGAAGTGTGATGATGAGAGAGACCAGTGGTTGTGAAAAAAGCACTAGCCTATGGGAGGGGCTTCTGGAAGTCTCCAATCCTTGAAAGAGTGTGGAGAGGCATGTTTGTTGGAGGAGAGATGAAGGGTGAGCGTATTTGAAATGCTACTATGCAGCAGTGAACAAGGCTGCAGGGCTCAGGGGCCCAGGGCTGCCATGAATGGTTGTCCAGGTTGTGCACTGCCCAAGAAAGGTTAACGTGTGAATGGCACTCTCTTGTGTGTTGCCTCAGAGAAGTCAAGCCAGTAGTTTCAAATGGATTTGTGAATGGACTTCTGCCTCTCTGGCTGTCTTCCTCTGGTGTCTCTTACCTACATCCTTCTCCCCAACCCAACTACAGACATGAGGAAGAGCATCTGCTTCCGGCATTACAACAGTACGTGTCGGAATGAACTGGCCTTTAACGTGACCCGGAAGATGTGCTGCTGTTCCTACAATATCGGCCAGGCCTGGAATAGACCCTGTGAGGCCTGCCCGACCCCTGCCAGTCGTGAGTGCCCCTCCCCTGCCTTCTTTCCAGTCTGGCCCTTTTCAGTGCTGTGTTTAAGGCAGCCTGCTGCACTTAGGACTCCTGGATGAGTCTGTTGTTTTGATTAGAGCCAAAGAGTTGAAATTCCATCCCAATCAATGTATGGGGAAAATCAATATATCCTTATTTCACAGACTTGTGGAATTCAGCGAGGCTTTCATCTGGGTTAAAAGACCTTGAAGACTCACAGATTATCTGGGGGTGGGAGGATGTCAGTGAATGCATGGGGCCAAGAGCGAAAAACAGAAGTGGTCAGAGACATCAGGGCCCCATGAGCTGGGAAGGTAGCGAGCTCATAGAAGCTCTGGAAAGGATTACAGAAATGTCAATTGCATTGAAGAAGGGTGTTCCAGGCAGGGGACAGCAGGAGAAAAACCCTAAAAGCAGTGGGAATGAGCTCTATTAGAAAAATCTATCAGCCAGCTGGGCATCAGAAAGAGATACAGAAATGGAGTGGTGACCAGAGGGGACAGCCGAAGATTACAGGTGTATCGTTCAGTCTCTCAATCACGTCTGACTCTTTGCTACTCCATAAACTGCAGCGTGCCAGCCTCCCCTGTCCTCCACTATCTCCCAGAGTTTGCCCAAACTCGTCCATTGAGTCAGTGACGCCATCCAACCATCTCATCCTCTGTCAATATGGGGGACTTCCCTGGCAGTCTAGTGGTTAAAACTCCATGCTCCTAATGCAGGAGTAGTGGGTTCGAGCCCTATCAGGAAACTAAGATCCCACATCCTGCCCATTGTGGCCAAAACCAGCCAACCAAACAAACAGAAATGTATTTTCTCACAGTCACGGAGGCTAGAAGTCAGAAGTGAAGGTGTGAGCAGGGTTATTCTTCCTCCAGAGGCTCGAGGGCAGAATTCTTTCTTGCCCTGTCCACCTCTGGTAGTCCACCCTCTGGTGGTGTTGCTTGGCTTGTGCCTGCATCATCCCTGTCTCTGCCTTCAGCTCACATGACCCCTGCTCGTGTCTCCACCCATCTCTCCTTTTCTTATAAGGACACAGTCATTGCACTGTGTGTGTGTGTGTGTGTGCCTCGTCACTCAGTTGTGTCTGACTCTTTGAGACCCCATGGACCGTAGCCTGCCAGGCTCCTCTGTCCATGGGATTCTCCAGTCAAGATCACTGGGATGGGCAGCCACTCCCTTCTCCAGGGGGTCTTCCCGACCCAGGGATTGAAACCACATCTCCTGCATTGCAGGCAGATTCCTTACCATCTGAGCCACCAGGGAAGCCCAGTCATTGCATTAGGGCTACCCTGATCTAGGATCACCTCAACTTGATTAAATCTGCAAAGATCCTATTTCCAAAAAAGGTCCCAGAAAGTCTGGGTAGACAGGAACTTTGGGGGTGGGAGGGTCATTGTTCAACCCAGCACAATGGAGTGGGGAGGGGTCATTATTGGGTATCTCTGGGTGCCAGACCCTGTTCTGTGTTCTAGAAAATAAGAATATGGTAGACCCAAACTGTGCAGTCTGGGAGGAAACTGCAGATGGCCAAGTCTGGTCATGAGATCATCAAGATAGATCAAATGTCACTCACAGATTATGTTCTGGGACTTGGGTACCTGCCTGAATTGTGTGCACCTGAATCTGAGCTGCAGGTCGAATATTGATGAGGCAGAAGTTCATACTAGGCTCAGTGGCCATCATGTTCTCATCATGATGCAGGCAGAAAAGTGAGTGAGGGGCAAGGCAGGGACCTGGGGAAAGGGAGCACCAACCTAATGCCTGATGATGTCTGTCAGGTGGGTCCAGGGACACCCACCCTTCTGGGGACTGAGGTCAGGTAAGCAGAATCTTGGTGTCAGCAGTGGGATATAATTAGAGTGTGAATTGCCCAGGGGACTTCCCAGCTGGCTCAGTGGTAAAGAATCCGCCTGCCAATGCAGGAGACACAGGTTCAATCCCTAGATTGGGAAGATCCCATGGAGGAGGAAATGGCAACCCAGTCCAGTATTCTCGCCTGGGAAACCCCATGGACAGAGGAGCCTGGTGGACTGCAGTTCAGGAGAATGCAAAGAGTTGGACATGACTTAGTGACTCAACAACAACAACAACAAATTGCCCAAGGGAGCCAAAGGATAGTATCATCCTCTGTCCATGGCCAGAGTGATGAGCTGCCCTGAGTCCTCAAGGCTGAAGCAGACTGTGCTAGGGAACAGCAAAGGGAACAGTATGTGCAAAGTTGTGGTAGCGTAACAGAGCAGGAATATCCAGATGTGTAATGAAATCAGGGTAACAGGAGGGCAGGCGTTCCTGTTGGCAGAAAGGTGGGGCTGGGGAAGAGAGGAAGGTCTGAGGTCCAGACTGTAGAGTCTGCAGTTTATGGTGAGGATGGTGGGGCGTGGCTGGTGGCACTTACAGAGAGAAGAGATGTGCCTGTGTGTTGGAAGATCACACAGCACAGGGGCCTGTAACCTTCCCGGCGCTGGTCAGGGTGGAGGGAGTTATCAGAGGCCAGGTGAGCACGGGGCTGCAGGGATAGACCAGGTGATCAGAGACAAGAGGAGGGGTCCTCCTGGCACGGCTGCAGCCCCAGCCCCCACTCCCCTGTTTTCCGTTGCACAGTGGATTACCAGATCCTGTGTGGAAACCAGGTTCCTGGGTTCGTCATCGACATCCACACAGGGAAGCCCCTTGGTGAGTGACCTCCATGCCCCCTTCTCCCCCCCGCCACTGCCTGGAGCCCCTGGTCACTCTGTGCCCCGAGCCCTGCCCCCTCTTTTCCCCTCCCCAACTCTTTCCCTCCATCCTCCTCTACCCCACACCCTCGCTCTTCCGTCTCCCTGGGCCAGGAATCCTGCCCCTCAATCCTGCTCCTTTTTTCCTTTAAGCAGAGAGCATTTTTAGTAAATTGTTCCTCATTTTTAAAAATTCTGCTAAAATACCCATAACAGAAAATTGGCCATTTTTACCATTTTTAAGTGTCCAATTCATAACATTAAATACATTCACACCGTTGTGCAACCATCCCCATCATCCATCTCCAGAACTTTGTCATCTTCACCTGCTGAAAGTCTGTTCCCATGAAACACTGACTCCCCACTCCTTCCCCCAGCTCCTGGGAACCCCCCCTTCTACCTTTGAACTGTGGTAGAGGTCCACAATTTAAGGAGAACTGTGGTCTCCATAAATTTTATCTCACAGAAACAGAATCAGACATTACTTGTCCTTTTTGTTTGCTGTTGTTGTTCAGTCGCTAAGTTGTGTCCGACTCTTTGCGACCCCATGGACTGCAGCATGCCAGACTTCCCTGTCCTCCGCTATCTCCTGGAGTTTGCTCAAACTCATGTCCATTGAGTTGGTGATACCATCCAACCACCTCATCTTCTGTTTCCCCCATCTCCTCCTGCCTTCAATCTTTCCCAGCATCAGAGTATTTTCCAAGGAGTCGGCTCTTTGCATCAGGTAGCCAAAGTTTTGCAGCTCTGTCTTCAGCATTAGCCCTTCCATTGAATATTCAGGGTTGATTCCCTTCAGGATTTCCTTTAGGATGGACTGGTTGGATCTCCTTGCAGTCCAAGAGACTCTCAAGAGTCTTCTCCAACACCACAGTTCAAAAGCATCAATTCTTCGGCGCTCNCATGGATCAGAGTTAAATGAGGTCTTGTACAATGTAAGTTAAATGAGATCTTGTACTTGAATGCCAAATTTCAGCTGTGCGGTATTTAATTGATAAACCTATTTTCAGTTGTCTTCATCCCATGGATGTAGTCTTCTTGTTTCTTTTTTTAAAAAATTAAGTAATTAATTTAGCTGTCTTGGGTCTTAGTTGTGGCATGCAGGATCTTCGATCTTTGTTGTAGCGTGTGAGATCCATTCCCTGACTAGGGATGGAACCCTGGCCCCTGCATTGGAAGCTTGGAGTCTTAGCCCCTGGACCACCAGGGAAGTCACTCTCCTTACTTTCAACAATTGGAACACAGCAGATGAGATCTGATTCCCCTCCAGCCACCCCTTCAAATCTCAGGATCCTTCCCCCTCTCCCAAGGGTCCAAGGTCGTAAATCAGTCCCCCATGGGTGAACACTTAGGCTGATTCCAGGTTCTTTATAAACAACAGCTTTATTGAGATATAACTCATGCTTTATGCCTGGGGTACTTCTTTCTAGTGCCTTCTTCATGCATTTAAACACATATTGAAGTTCCCCCCGTTGAAAATGTATGGCGTTGTTTTCTGGGAGTTGGACATAAATCCTATGCTTTCCCACGTATTGTCTGTAGGACAATAAAAAAAAAAAAAAAAAAAAAACTTGCTTTTTTCCCCCAGAAAAGAGTCGTGAAGAACCGGCCAGTGCCACTACACACAGCACTGCTTCCTTCTATGTCCCGCTTTGTAGTATTCCAAGTGTGGTCACATCCCAGGTCATAAGTCAGTTCCCCGTGGATGGACACTTAGGCAGATTCCAGGATCTCATATAAATAAAACAATAGCTCTCCTGAGATATAATTCACACACCACACACTTCACCCATCAAAAGTGCACAGTTCAGGGGCTCCTTTGGTGGTCTAGGGGTTAAGGTTCTGTTCTTTCACTGTAGGGGGCATGGGTTTGATCCCTAGTCTAGGAAATTCCACATGCCATGAGGTGTGGTCAAAGGAAAAAAGAAAAAGTGCACAATTCAGTGGGTTTTCATATATTCACAGAGTTGTGCTCCATCACTTCAAGTTTAGAGCATTCCATCACATAAAAAGAAACTCCATCCCTATAAACAATCATTCCTCATTCTCTGTTCCCCCAGCCCCCTGGCAACCACTAGTCTGCTTTCTGTCTCTTTGGATGTGTCTGTTCTGGACATTTCATATAAATGGTATCATACCGTATTTGTTCTCTTGGGACTGGCTTCTCTCATTAAGCTTCATGTTTTCAAGGTTCAGCCACATTATAGAAAGTGTCAGTGCTTCACCCCTTTTTCAGGCTGAATGGTATTCTCTTCTATGAAAAGACATTTTTTAACCTTTTTTTAAATTAGAGGATAATTACCTTACAATATTGTGGTGGTAAAATAGATAGCCACATAAATAGATGGGTTTTTTTGACCATGTGGCATGCAAGCTCTTCCCTGACCAGGGAGCGAACCTGTGCCCCCTGCAGTGGGAGAGACCACATTTTGTCATCCATTCCTCCTTTGATGTTTCTGGTTTCTTGCTAAACATCATCGCAGGTCCTCTCATGCAACTTCCTGCTGACACATGGGGCTGCTTCATCCCAGAGACCCCATAATAGCAGGCTTGCACACACACACACACACACACACACACACACACACACACAAATGTGCTGGGTCACAGCCAATGTGCATTTTTGTTGAGAAAGATGCCCTCTCCCCTTCTGCCTTCCCTCTCACATCCTGATTTCTTTCCACTGTCAGCAGTTCTAGGTTAGCCATGGCAGAATTTTTCAATTGAAGGCTGACTTGTGGACACACAAGTTCTCCCCGGTGGCACGATCTCTTAGGTCAGGGTCCCCAGATGATGCCAGGGGCTGGGCTGCCCTGACAGCTGGTGACCTCCCCAGACATCGACGAGTGCGGGGAGATCCCCGCCATCTGTGCCAGCGGCATCTGCATCAACCAGATCGGGAGCTTCCGCTGCGAGTGCCCTGCGGGCTTCAGCTACAACAGCCTGCTGCTGGTCTGCGAAGGTGCCGCCGCCCCCCTACCCCCACCCCTGGGTGGGATCCTGGTCCTTCTCCCACCCTGTGCTCTCCGGGCAAGTCATTTAAATTCCACAAATCTCAGTTCCCCCCTCTGCCTATGGGGCTAACGCCTTTCTGAGGGGCTCCATCCCACGTCATCCCCCTCCATGTGGTTCTAGCTGCTTCTGGAAAAACCAGGGGGAGGGGGCTGGATTTAGGGTTTGATTCTGCAGGAAAGATTTCCTTTCACTCCCCCCACCTGGCTGGCTGTACTCCCCAGACGTGGATGAGTGCACCAGCGGGGAGAACCCCTGCCAGCAGAATGCCGACTGCATCAACATCGCTGGCAGCTACCGCTGCAAGTGTGCCCAAGGGTACAAGCTGTCGCCAGGCGGGGCTTGTGTGGGTAAGTGGGGACATAGTCGGGAGGTGAGGGAGTAGGACAAAGCCAGACTCTGCCTCCTGCTGGGACTTGGGTAGGGCACGGGCCTGTCCAGACTTTGCTCTTTCGCTGTAGTTTTTTCTTTTTTTTTGGCCATGTCACTTTACATGAGGGACTTTAGTTCTCGGACCAGCGATCAACCCCGTGCCCCCTGCAGTGGAAGCGCACAGTCCTAATCACTGAAGTTGCCACCTTGGCTGTACTTTGGGGTGGGGGTGCCGAGGGCATCTGTTAACGGGGGAGTCGAGAGGATGAAATGGGAGGTGAAGTGTCTCCCCTGGGGCAACAGCTCACTGGGGAAACTTCTTGGAAGGGTCGGGCTCCCCAACTGCTGCATGAAACGGCTCAGGACATGCTGTGGGTGGGAGCCCTGGGGACACTGTGCTGCCTGCCCTTCCTCAGGACGGAACGAGTGTCGAGAGATCCCGAATGCCTGTAGCCACGGCGACTGCATGGACACAGTAGACAGCTACATGTGTCTGTGTCACCGTGGCTTCCGGGCTTCAGCAGACCAGACCCTGTGCATGGGTAAGAGTGCCCGCCTGCTCCCGCCTCAATGGCCAGGCCATGAGGAGGTCATGGGTCTACACCTCCCCTGGGGTGGGGCTGGTGCTTCTGCTCATCCTGGTTCACTGACTCACAAGTTTGAGTCCTGGCCCCTGACACCTGGGCTGAATAACTTACTCATCTCCCTGCACCTCAGTTTTCTCATCTGTAAAATGGGGATAGTAAATAGTACCAGGGATATATTTCCCATCCATGTGGGCAGGGCTGGGTACCGGAGATGGGGGCTGGGTCCAGTCAGGCCCTCAGTCCCCAAGCTGCCTTTTGCCCTGGGTGAGCTGGCCAGAGGTCGGGGGCTTTGCTCTGGCAGATGTCGACGAGTGTGACCGGCAGCCATGTGGAAATGGGACCTGCAAGAACATTGTCGGCTCCTACAACTGCCTCTGCTTCCCCGGTTTTGTGGCAACACACAACGGAGATTGCGTGGGTAAGCTGCTCAGCCTCAGTGCACCCCCAGTGAAAAGCTGATCCTTGGCTTAAGAGGCACCACCTCTCTGAAATAAAGGATCTCAACCTGGGGATGCCTCCAGTAAAATGACCTCAGGAGATTGAAAAGTAGTTAACCACAAGTTCTCCAAACCCCTGCAGTTGTCAGGTGCCAGGGGTTCCTTCCTAGAGCTTACACTCAGGTTGATAAGAAGGAGATGGCCGATACAGAGAGAAAGGTGAACAGTGAAGGCAAGACGCTGGTAATTTAGTACAGTGGTTGAAAGTGTAGATTACAAGTTCAAGTGGTATGAGTTCAAATCCCAGCTTTGCCATCTGCCAGCTGTGTGACCCTAGGCAAGTCACTTAACCCCTCTGCGCTTTACTTTCCTCCTCTGTAAAAAGGAGATTAATAGAAATAGTAGTACCTACCTATCTTAATATCAGAGCAAATTGACTTCTGGACAAAGAATATTACCAGAAATAGAGTCAGTGTATGTATTGTAAGGAGTCAGTTCTCTCAGAAGACATAACAATCATAAATGCTTATGCAGCTAATAATGAGCTTCAAGAGGTAGGAAGTAAAAATTGACAGAACTAAAAATGAAATAGACAAACTCACAGTTATGGTTAGAGACCTCAACTCTCCTCCCTCAGTAATAGAGGGAAAAGTAGAAGATGAGTAAGAATATAAAACACCTCAACAGTACTATGAACCACCTAGACCCAAATGATATTTATGGAACATTCCATAATATACATTATTCTTAGGTGTACATGAACATTCACCAGGAAAGATCATATTCTGGGCCATAAAACAGTTTTTTTTTTTTTAAATTGAGGTTACACAAGGTAGGTTCTCAGAATGTAAGGGAATTAAACTATTGTAGTAATCAGTCACAAAAAGATCTCCAGAAAATCCTTAAATATTTGGAAATTAAGCAATGTACTCCTAAAGAAGCCATAGATAAAAGAAGAAATCATAAGAAAAATTAGAAAACATTTTGAATTAAGTGAAAATAAAATACAACATAAAATTTGTTGGATGCAGCTAAGGCAGGACCTATAGGCAAATTCATAGCATTACAATGCTCATATTAGAAAACACTAGTGTCTGCTTCATAGGATAGTTGGAGAGTTAATATACAACTGGTATGTAAGTGCTCAATAAATTGAAGTCACAGCCATCAAGTCAATTTTTTGAATAGAAGTGCAAGGGAGGCTCAGAGCCTTAGGCTCTGTGGGTAATGCTGCTGGCCCATCTTCCCTCTGCAGACATGGATGAGTGCACCACCATGGTGGGGCAGGTGTGCCGATTTGGCCAGTGCCTCAACACGGCTGGCTCCTTCCACTGCCTCTGCAAGGATGGTTTTGAGCTCACAAGTGATGGGAAGAACTGCATAGGTGAGTCTCACCATGGTGTGTGTGTGTGTGTTAGCCACTCAGTCACGTCTGACTCTTTGCGGCCCCATAGACGGTAGCCCTCTAGGCTCCTCTGTCCACGGAATTTTCCAGGCAAGAATATTGGAATGGGTTGCCATTCCCTCACCATGGTGCTGGAAGCCATCTCAGCCAGCCCCTGCTCCAAGCTGACCTGCAGTTGGTACTTTTGAAGGGGCATGACTCCCTTTCATAACCATACATTTATTTTAAGGTATAAAAAGAGAGAACCAGCACATCACATCCACATTTTCACCAGATTTGTGGTTTAGAGAATGGCTGTCTTGAAAATCCAAGTTTTATGATGTATAGAATAGGGGAGCTGCGTGGATGACATGGAAAGCATGAAAGGGGTCTGCAAGTGGCTTGAGATTAGGAACTTCACTCCCCCTTCCCCTGGACAACACCGGCTCCACTTATAACCCTCACCAGGACCCAGAATACTCTTCTCCAGATGTCTCTGTTTTCCCAAGGCTCAGCCCTTCCTCTGGATCCAGGAGGGCTTGTCTGGGGGCCCTTGGCCATTATGCTGTGACCATAGGTGCTGGTCTCAGCCCCAGGTGAGTCCCTGATCCCCAGCTAGTGCTGAGACCTCTCCTCCTCTCCACAGACACCAACGAGTGTCTCAGCCTTCCAGGAACCTGCCTGCCAGGCACTTGCCAGAACCTCGAGGGCTCCTTCCGCTGCATTTGTCCCCCCGGCTTCCAGGTGCAGAGCGACCATTGTGTTGGTGAGTATCTGGCCTCACCTCCCAGCTCTGGGGATGGGGGGTGAGGGGGCACCTCTGGGCCTCTGTTCCTCCATCTGTAAAATGGGAATGCCAGCTGGACTGGTGGTGAGTGAAAAGATGCATTTAGGGGACTTCCTTTGTAGTCCAGTGGTATAGACTCCTCGCTTCCAACTCGGGGGACGTGAGTTCTAACCCTGGTCAGGGAGCTAGGATCCCACATGCCTGTGGTGCGGCCAAAAATTAAAAAATTAAAACCGAATCACTCACACACACAAGATGCCCTTAGCACAGTGCTCAATGCAGCTCCATACACTTTTATTGCTATTAAGATGCTCTCTCGGCTCAGGGCGCTCTCTCTCTGTGGCCCCCAGGCTTCCTCATGAATCCCATGAAGTGGGCATGGGTGTGGGTCTCACTGGCCCAAACGTGGAATTCCTCAGTCGATGACTGGTGGTCGAGGACTGGTCTGACCTGAGCTCCAGTATTATTCCACACCTGGGTGACTTGTATATTCCATGCTAATCTGGAGCAGTCTGGCCTGACCACCATTCATTCACTTGGATTAGGCTTGTGCGACCTGGGCTAACCTGGGCCAGTCTGGCCTGAGCAGATGGACTAGTCTAGTATAATGTGAGCTAACTCCATCCACCATAGGCTAGTGTTACCCAGTCTTGGTTGGTGGTGGGTTAGTCACTCAGGCATGTCTGACTCATTGCGAACCCATGAACTGTAGCTCCCTTGTCCATGGGATTTCCCAGGCAAGAATACTGCAGTAGGTTACCATTCCCTTCTCCAGGGGACCAGTCTTGGTTAGCTCTGTACAAATTTAGTCTCTAATGATGAACTTTTCCTGACCATGACCTCCACCCTGGAGACACCTTCTATGAAAGACACACACACACACACACACACACACACTGCCTGCCTGGTGCTCTGGCTCATCCTGAGCCCTGGGGACCCCGCCCCGCAACAGTCCCTGGATCCTCCCGAGCTGGACTCCCACCCCATCTGCCCCTCCCAGCAGCTGATGCTGCCCCACCAGTGGAGGGCCTGCTGCATCCCCCCTCACTTCACGTCCCTGCCCCTCCAGACATCGACGAGTGCTCCGAAGAGCCCAACCTGTGCCTTTTTGGCTCCTGTACCAACAGCGCCGGAAGCTTTGATTGCCTCTGCCCACCTGACTTTGTCCTGTCTGACAACGGGCACCGTTGCTTTGGTGAGTCTGGAGCCAGGGAGTACCCAGGATGAGGGAAGAGGTGGGAGGTGAGGCGGAGGAAGAGCTACATCACCCAGAGAGCGGACTTGCAGTTTCTTGTGTGGGTCTCCAAGAGCCTTGTCCGGTGTGAAGCTGTCTCTTCTCTCCTGGGTTAGGGCAACTCACCCAGTATTTGTCATTCTGGGAGCCAGTGGTGAGCCAAACCCCTCCGTCTGTCTGTAGAGCCGTATCATGTCAGTGAAGGCTCAGGCTAGGGAATGGGCGTCACTAATGAGAATCTGGGGTCTGAAGTCTGGGGTCCTCTGGCTCTTTGGAATGAGTTGCTTTGCCTCTCCAAGAAGGGGATTCTGATCCAAGAATTAAATGGATAGGTTGCCCATTCTGCCACAGCTGTGAATGTGGGGTGTTGCTGGAAAGGATTCTCAGATTGTCAGCAAAAGCCCCAGGACTGACCCTCATTGGCCCAGGGTGGGTCACATGTTCGTGCCTGAACCAATCACCACGGAGTGATCTGAGCTGTTCTGATTGGCTGCTGGTAGGGTCAGGACCACCCCATTCACAAGAATTGGGGGTGGCTGGCCCTTCTAGCAGTTTCTCTGGGGAATCACCTCCCACAGACACACGGCAGAGTTTCTGCTTCACCCATTTCGAGGCCGGAAAGTGCTCAGTACCCAAAGCTTTCAACACCACCAAGGCCCGGTGCTGTTGTAGCCAGAGGCCTGGCGAGGGCTGGAATGACCCCTGCGAGCTGTGTCCCCAAGAAGGCAGTGGTGAGGCCTCCCCGCCCAGTCTCCCCCGGTCCTTCCTGCCTGCCCTCTCCATGCCCCCTGCGCCTCCCGGGTATGCTGTCCTTCCATTCTTCCTCCAGCCTTCCCCACACATAAGGGGATGCCGGGGACTGCACCTGGCCACAGACCCTCACCTCCCTTCTCCTCTTGGTGTCCAGTCGCCTTTCAGGAGCTATGTCCCTTTGGCCACGGGGCAGTCCCAGGCCCAGATGACTCCAGGGAAGGTGAGCTTCTCACCCACCTGCTGAGACCCCACCCCCAAGGCCACTGCAGCCTCCTACATTCCTGCCCAGCCCTGTCTGAGCTCTGCCCTGGTTCCCCAGTCTCAGGTTCCCTCTTTGACCCATGGGTGGCCCTGGACAACCCCCCACCTCCTTGAAGGGAAGGAAGAGACCCTGACTGTGGCCAGGGCGTGACAGAGGACTGCAACCCCTGCCGCTTGCAGATGTAAACGAGTGTGCGGAGACCCCTGGCGTCTGCACTAATGGCCTTTGCGTCAACACCGATGGCTCATTCCGCTGCGAGTGTCCCTTTGGTTACAGCCTGGACTTCACGGGTGTCAGCTGCGTGGGTGAGGGACTAGCCCACCCCAGCTTGCTTCCCAGGAAAGGAAGGAGCTGGGGAGGGTACATACCACCCAAGGGAATACCCCGTCTCTCAGCTACTATCACTTTGCCCACCCACCTGTCCATCTCACCAAAGTTTACTCGCTCATTCACTTATTCATTTACTCATTCACTCATTCATTCATGCATTTGCAGAGTTATTCATTTATTCACTCTTTCACCTATTCACTTATTCATTTATTCACACATTCTCACACTTATTCATTCATTCATTTACTTACTCTCTTGCTCATTCATTCACTAGCTTACTTGCTCATTCAGTTACTTCCTCGTCTACTCATTCACCTATTTTTAAAGCTTTTATTATATATTTCTTTTTAATATTTATTTAATTGGCTGCATCAGGTCTTAGTTGCGGCACGCGGGATCTTAGTTATGGTGTGTGAACTCTTCGTTGCAGCATGCAGGATCTTTAGTTTTAGCATGTGAACTCAGTTGCAGCATGTGGGATCTAGTTCCCTGACCAGGCATGGAACCCCGGTCTCCTGCACTGGGAGCGCAGAGTCTTAGCCACCAGGCCACCAAGAAGTCCCTCATTCACGTATTCACTTATTCACTTACTGCATGCCTCTGCCCTGAGTCCAGCCCTCAAGGTGCAGCAGATCTAGCCCTGTCCAGTCTATAGACACTCAGCAGGAGGCAGACAGGATCATGTCAAGGGTGGGGGCTCCCTGAAGGCCCTGACCACCTGATTACCTCCCCACTGCAGACACAGATGAGTGCTCCATCGGGCACCCCTGTGGGGAAGGTACCTGCACCAATGTCATAGGAGGCTTCGAATGTGCCTGTGCAGATGGCTTCGAACCTGGTCCCATGATGACCTGCGAGGGTAAGGCTTGGCCTGTCCAGACCCGGGGCTGTGAAACAGAGGCTGAGGGAGGGCTGACCTGAGAAAGGGAGAAGAGGTCCTGCAGGCCGACCCCACCCACCCAGCGCCTCCACTGGCCTTTCCAGACATTGATGAGTGCTCCCTGAACCCCCTGCTCTGCGCCTTCCGCTGCCACAACACCAGGGGCTCCTATGTGTGCACCTGCCCAGTCGGCTATGCGTTACGAGAGGATGGGGCCATGTGCCGAGGTAGGACCCACACAGGCAGGCGGTGGATGGACAGGGCGCTGGGGCTGTCCATACCTTGGTCCCGAAAGAAAGTGAAGAAATAAGAGCTGTGCCTCCAAGAGTGGAAATGAGTACTAAGTCATAAAGTGACGGGAGAGCTGAGACATGCAAGGGTGCAATGGGTGCTCTTTTGTGAGGGGTGCTTCTGCTTTCATTTTTATGAAAGAGGAGCATCTCCTTAGTCTAACAACAGGACTGTGGCTCCGGAGGCCTCTCTGGTGGTGACCGGACATGCCCTGAATGGGCTAGCACAGTGGGGACAGTGACTGTTCCCTTCCCCCCCTGGGGACATGTGGAAATGTCTAGAGACACTTTTTATTGTCACACTTGAGTAGAGGTGGGGGTTGCTACAGGTATCAAGTGGCCAAGGTTGCTGTTCAGTATCCTGCACTGGACAGAATGGCCTCCCATCACAAAAAATTTTCGAGTCCCAAATGTCCATATGTAGAGGGTAGAAACCCTGGCCTGGGACTTGGTCCCTCATGGGCTGTTTCAGGGTCATTGTTCCAGGGACCATGGTGAAGGTCACACAGATTCAGAGACCCTGATGTGGGCAGGGGATGCAGGTGTTTGGGGCAGTCCTGACCATCCCCTCCCAGTTGACTTCCCAGGAAGTCTGGGACAGGTGGAGGAGGAACGGGCACTCGGCAGTGCTTCTGGGACCTCCCTCTCTGGGAGGCCACTGGAGAGTGGGAGAGTCCAGATTTTCACAGCCTGGAGTTGAGCCATGAGCACCATCGATCCATGGTCACCCACAGATGTGGACGAGTGTGCAGACGGTGAGCAAGACTGCCATGCCAGGGGCATGCTGTGCAAGAACCTCATTGGCACCTTCGCCTGCATCTGCCCCCCAGGCATGAGGCCCCAGCCGGGCTCCGGGGAGGGCTGCACAGGTACAGAAGGGCTTCCCCACCCCATCCCACCATAGACAGGAGAGTTCAAAGCCAGAGGGCACGCGGGCAGGCAGACATGGGCCCTGGAGGTGGAGGCCAGCTTGGGGGACTCTGGCCTCCCTGCCTCCCCGCCGGCCTGCCTTATCCCTCCTGCCTCAGATGATGATGAATGCCGTGCCCAGCCCAGCCCCTGTGCCAACGGCCGCTGCATCAACACCCTGGGCAGCTTCCACTGCGACTGTGACGAGGGCTACCAGCCCAGCCCCAGCCTCACCGAGTGCCAGGGTGAGTGTGACAAAGTCCCAGTGTGGCACCCCGACCTGGGACCTCCCCAAGGCGGGGACAGGGTCGGGGCCACCGAGGGGGTTACCCAGCCAGTCCAGACACATGTGTTCATCGCACGCCCCCAGCTTCCCTTCGTCCCTTCAGTCACCACCCCCCCTGAAAGGTGAGAGCATGTCCCCGCTGCCCTGTCTATCATCACACCCAGGAAGAGGCCCTCCCCAAGTTCACAACTTCATGGGGCTAAACCTGGAGGGCACCCCAGTGGTACCAGGTGTCTGAGTGACTTATCTGTCCTGGTCCCCAGTGTCCTTGTCGCCTTCGCTCTCCACACTCTGCTCTTGGAGCAGTCACCGCCCCTCAGTTTCAGGCCAAGCATGTGTATCCAGCTGCCTCCTGCATCACCCCAGCCTCCACGACCCCCAGATGCAGCTCACCCTAGAACAAGTTCAGTACCTGCTCCCCGAACCCCATCTCAGCGATGCCCTGCTTCCCACCCAGACCCCCAAGCCAGCCTCCTCAAGTAATCGGATGACCCCCTCCTCACCTCTATGGACATCACCTCTCTGCTCTGGCCCCACTGTCTGTCCTGGAGGCAACGACCTTTTGCCTCCATGCTACCCCTTGACCATCCGTTCTCCCTGCGGCCAGAGGGATGCTGCCCTTTGGCCTCAGGAAGCCGCCCATATCTGCAGACCAGAGGGTACCCCTCGGATTTGGGGTCTATAGGTTCTGCCACAGTCCAGCCCCAGCCGCCAGAGGGCGTTTCACAGCGCTAGGCCAGGGCGAGAAGGAGGGGGGCAGACTTCCCTGGTGATCCCCTGGTTAAGACTCCACGCTTCCACTGCAGGGAGCTAAGGTTTGATCCCTGGTCGGGGAAGTAAGATCTTCCATGCAGCGTAATGCACCCAAAGGGGGATGAGGGGGAACAACACAGTGCTAGGCGAGAGCAGTTTAGAAGCCACCACCCAGTGGACATGCGCAGTCGTGTAGGAGATGCTGGAACCTCTGCCTGGATTCTCAGCACCGCCGATGCCCTTGGGGAAGGGGAACCTGGATGGATGGCTTGTTCCTCCCGCCCGTCATCTCCACCTGTTCTCCCCAGACATCCGGCTGGGGCCCTGCTTCTCTGAGGTGCTGCAGGCCACGTGCCAGGCTCAGTCCAGCAGAGGTGAGGCCGTCACCAGGGCCGAGTGCTGCTGCGCGGGCGGCCGCGGCTGGGGCCCGGGCTGCGAGCACTGTCCGCTGCCCGGCACGTCCGCCCACCGGAAGTTGTGCCCCCACGGCTCGGGCTACACTGCCGACGGCCGAGGTGGGTAGTGTTCACTATCGTGTGCCTGTGCTGTGGCTGGTGTTAGTGTGTGTGAACCAGTGTGTATGCACCTCCGTGCCGGCGGGTGGGTTGACCAGTGTGAACCACAGCCCATTCGTCGCTCTGGGGGTGTGTGTGCGTGAACTTGGGTGGATGGGTGAGCAAGTGTGTGAACCAAACTGTGTGTGTATGTATGTGTGTGTGTCGTTCGTTCTGGGTTTGTTCTTAGAGTGTGAGAGCGTGTGAGCTGGTGTGCATCTCCGATGAGTGCAAGCTGGTTGAACATGTGAGCTGGTGTGTTGTGTGTGCGAGCTTGTTAGCATGTGTGTGCTGGTGAGGGTGGGGGCTGGGTGGGGAGTTCGCACCAGAAAGTGGATGAGAAGGAGTGAACTGGTTCAGGATTCAGGTAAGCATCTGTGAGGATGAGCATGTGTGTGAGCGAGTGTGCGTGTCTGACCTGGAGGAACCCATGAGTGTGTGCCCTTGTGATTCTGTAGAAGCGTCTGAGCAGGTGACTGGCATGTCCGTCTCTGCTTCCATGTATGTGTCTGGGGTGTCCTGATGAGGTGTTGCTGGTGAGGCTGTGTGTCCCCCACCCTGAGGGTTCTCAGTGTCCAGTAGGAGGAGCTTCATAAGCCTGAGTGTGGGGATCACAGGGGCTGGCTCCCCAGCTCTGGGGTGCAGGGGGGGAAGCAAGGGCTGGCCTTACCTCCTAGGAGAGTGCTGGTGGACCCGAGGGAGGTGGTGTGTCCCGGTGAACGAGGTGGGTAGCCCCAGCCAAGCCCTGCTTGTCCCCAGATGTGGATGAGTGCCGTGTGCTCCCTCGCCTGTGCCCTCACGGTGAATGCATCAATAGCCTTGGCTCCTTCCGTTGCCACTGCCAGGCCGGGTACGCACCTGACATCACTGCCACAGCCTGCCTAGGTGAGCCCCCCGCCCTCCCCCGAGCCTCTCCTTACGGCACCTGCCACACACTTCCATGATAAAACCAAGTCCAGAAAGCAAAGTGGCTTTCTTTCCTCCACCCCACCCTGTTTGGGCTGCTTTCCTCCTGTTATTTGGTGCATCCTAAGATTTTCAATTACATTGTGTAGCAGGGGTTCATCTAAATCAGGGTCAGCAATCTCCTGCCCAAAGGCTGAATCCGGCCCTCAGCTTGTTTTGTTAATAAAGTTTTATTGTCACACAGTAGTGCCTGTTTGTCTCCTCACCCTCTGTGGCTGTTTTTTCCTGCTACAAAGCCAGAGTTGAGTAGTTGGAATTAAGACCACAAAGCCAAATATATTTACTCTCTGGCTTTTTGCAGAAAAAAAAAAATGCCAGTTCCTTGGGTAAGCCCACAGATTCTGGTTGTCTAGGGTCTGGGAAAGAGGCCTCAGCTGGGCCTGGGTGGAGACCCCTGCCCCTGAGCCCCCAGGAATGTCTGTCTGACCCTCCTGAGCGCTGTGTCCCCTCTAGACGTGGATGAGTGCAGCCAGGCCCCCACGCCATGTCCCTTCCTCTGCAAGAACACCGAGGGCAGCTTCCTGTGCGCCTGCCCCCGTGGCTACCTGCTGGAGGAGAACGGCAGGGTCTGCCGAGGTGACATCCCTCTTCCCGCACCCACGCCCCGTGGGGCTCTGTCCCTGTCCTCCCCAGGGGCTCCCCCTCCCGCTGCATGGGGTCAGCTTCCGTCTCCAGGGCGTCTCCCCCGGGAAGCCCCCAGCCCTGGCAGGCCCTGCCCTGAGCCCACCGGGGCCCTCTGTGTCACAGACCTGGATGAGTGCTCCTCCAGGCAGCACAACTGCCAGTTTTTCTGCGTCAACACCATCGGTGGCTTCACCTGCCGCTGTCCCCCCGGCTTCACCCAGCGCCACCAGGCCTGCTTTGGTGAGTCCCCCCAGCCCTCCTTGGCAGCATGACCCCAGCCTTCACCAGATAAGAAGCAAAGGCACAGTGTGGGCCAGATGTCAGGGACACAGGGGTGATCAAAGTCCTTGTCCTGTCGCTGTTTACATCCTGGTGGTGTCTTGGACCTCAGTCTTCTTCCTCGCCCGAGGGACCTAGGAGGCCACGCTCAGGAGTCTCTCTGACCTTGACCCAGGACACCTACCCTCACCTCTGACCTGCTGAGTCTATCCCTTAGGGCTTCTCCAGGGTGCTCCTAAAAGCCGAGGGTCTTATACAGTCCACACCCATGACTTTTTAGTGTCTTGTGACCTGGGAGAACCAGATCTCCCCCAAGGGCCGAGCCCAGTCACAGGTGGCTTTCTTTGGGCTCCCATGATCTCAGCTAACAGATACTGAACACCTGTGTACTAAGCAGTGCTCTAGACCAGAAATCAGCAGACTCCAGCCATCAGGTCAAGCCCAGACCCCTGCTTGCTTTTGTCAGTAAAGTTTTATTGGCACAAAAGCCATGCCCATTCATTTACATATGGTCTGTGGCTGCTTTTGCTACAACCGCAAAGCCTAGTAGTTGCAACAGGGTAAATGATATTTCCTACCTGGTCCTTTACAGAAGTAGCTTGCTTCATCTTGTTCTAGACCCCGAGGGTACAGGACATGATTCAGTTATACATAGGGTGGTTAAGTCGCTAAGTTGTGTCCAACTCTCTTGTGACCCCATGGATTATAGCCCACCAAGCTCCTCTGTCCATGGAACTTCCCAGGCAAGAGTACTAGGGTGGGTTGCCATTTCCTTCTGCTGTTTCTGTGCCAACCCAGGGGTTGAACCTGCATCTCCTGCATTGGCAGGTGGATTCCTTAAGAATGAGCCAACAGATGTATGGCACATGTGTACGTATACACATATCTATTCTTTTCCCATATAGGTTATTACAGAATATTTAGTAGAGTTCCTTGTGAATATTTAGTAAGTCCTTGTTGGTTATCTATTTTATATATAGTAGTGTGTGCATATTAATCCCAAACTCCTACTAATTCATCCCTCCCCCTCGCCTTTTCCCCTTTGGTAACCATAAACTTTTTTACTGTTTCTATGAGTCTGTTTCTGTTTTATAAATAAATTCATATACGTCATATTTTTAGATTCCATATATAAGTGATATCATATGATACTTGTGTTTCTCAGTCTGACTTACTTCACTTAGTATGACAATCTCTAGGTCCAACCGTGTTACTGCAAACAGCATTATTTCATTCATTGTAGTATTACTAACCATAGTCACCATGCTGTACACTACATCCCATGATTTATTTATTTTTAACTGGAAATTTGTGCCTATGACCCCCTTAACGCCTTTCACTCACCCCCCACAAAACCCTTCTCTAACAACCACGAATTTGTTCTCTATGAGCTTGGCTTTCTTATTTTGTTTTTAGATTCCATATATGTGGGATCATATGGCATTTGTCTTTTTCTGTCCAACTGATTTCATCTTAGCAGAATAGTCACAAGGTCAACCAACCATGTTGTCATAAACAGCAGGATTTCCTTTTTTATAGCTGAATAATATTCCATTGTACGTATGTAACACATTTTTCTTTTTTCATCTGTGTTTGGACACTTAGGTTGTTTCAGGTCTTGGCTATTCTGAATAATGCTGCAGTGATCATGGGGCTGTGGATATCTTTTCGAGTTAGTGTTTTCATTTTCTTTGGATAAACACACCCATAAGAGGAGTCACTAGGAGGCCTGCAGTTTTAAAACAGAATTGATGACAAGCCTCACCGAAAGAGGAAATTTGAGCAAAGGTTTGAAGGAGATGAACCATGTGCATATCTGGTAAAGGAGTGAGCATCTGCAGCCATGAAATGACAGGCATTCCCCTTTTTCCGTTGCTGTTGTTCAGGCACTTTCCCTCCTTCCTGAGGTGAGCACACTTAACATGGCATCTGTGTGTATGCAGTTGCACGCATGTGCACACAAAGGCTTAGAAGACCCAATTCCGCCTGTACCCAGGAGAGCGTTTAGGTTCCCACAGGGATGTGCCTGGTGTCGAGAATCTTCACACTCGATGAAGAAGATGTGCGCTATATATATGTGTGTATATAGTGGAATACTACTCAGCCATAAAAAAGGATGAAATAATGCCATTTGCAGCAACATGAATGAACCTAGAGATTGTCATGCTAAGTGAAGTCAGACAGAGAAAGACATATACCATATCACATCACTTAACATGCAGAATCTAAAATATGGCACAAGTGAACCTATCTACAAAATAGAAATAGGCTCTCAAATATACAGAACAGATTTGTGGTTCCCAAGGAGGATGAGGTGGGGGAGAGATTGATGGGGAGTTTGGGATTAGCAAATGCAAATTTAGTACAGAGAATAGATAGACATCAAGGTCCTACTATATAGCATGCTGCTGCTGCTGCTGCTAAGTCGCTTCAGTCGTGTCTGACTCTGTGCGACCCCATAGACGACAGTCCACCAGGCTCTGCCATCCCTGGAATTCTCCAGGCAAGAATACTGGAGTGGGCTGCCATTTCCTTCTCCAATGCATGAAAGTGAAAAGTGAAAGTGAAGTCGCTCAGTCGTGTCTGACTCTTCCCGACCCCATTGCGGCCCACCAGGCTTCTCTGCCCATGGGATTTTCCAGGCAAGAGTGCTGGAGTGGGTTGCCATTGCCTTCTCCGACTGTATAGCATAGGGTATTCAATATCCTATAATAAGCCACAATGGAAAAGAATATGAAAAAAAAAATATATATATATATAACTGAATTACTTTGCTATATACAAGAAGCCAACACAGCATTGTAAATTAACTTCATTTGAATAAGATAAATTAAAAAAAATTAAAAAGTAAGGACTTTCCTGGCAGTCCAGTGCTTTAGACTCTGCTTCCACCACATGAGGTGTGGGTTCAATCCTTCATTGAGGAACTTAAGATTCCACACACCGTGTGGTGTGGCCAAAACAAATATTTTTTTAATTAAAAAAATTTTTTAATACTAAAAGGATCTCCAAACTCAAGGAAGCCCAGATTAGGATTCCCCTAAGAAATGTGTGGTTCATCCTGCGTGATCCTAGTCCCAGTGCACTTTACCAATGTGGGTCATGACCACCATGGCAATGTTGCCTGGTAACCAGGTTGTCTTGGCTCAGGCTGCCATGACAAAGTATCATAGACTGGGTGGCTTTAAAAACAAACATTTATTGCTGGCTCTGAAAGCTGGAAATCTGAGATTAAGGTCAGGTTGTGGTGAGGCTCTCTTCCTGGCTTGCAAACAGCTGCCTTCCTCTCATGGGGGAGAAAGAACAGAAGTAATCTCTCTGATGTCTCTTACAAGGGCACCAATCCCATCATGAGGGCACCGATCCCCACCCTCATGACCTTATCTAACCCTAATCACCACACAAAGGTCTTGCCTTCTAATACCATCACTTTGGGGTTAGGGTTTCAACATGGGGATTTGGTGGTAGTGGCGGAGGCGGATGGGAACCCACACACAGTCAGTCCATGACTCTGGCTGATATCCCACAATTGTCAGGTTTCCATGAGGACAGGGTGCAGTGGTTACCCCAGGTCATTTTCCCAGAGAAGGAAAAGGGTCTTTGTTAATTTTATGTTGAGCACTGTTCCAGTGCTTCATGTGATTAGGTTAGTTTAATTCTCATAAACACAATGAGGTAGATATTATCATCTCTACACTACAGCTGGTGAAACTGAGGCACAGAGAGGGTAAGCCAGTTGCCCTAAGTCACACAGCGTTTAGGTGGTAGAGAGTCAAACGAAGTCCTATTTCTGTGTGATCTCAAATGTTTGTGACGTTTCTGTGAAGTGGGCAGTGTTCTGGACCTCCTTTCACAGTGGGGGAAACGGAGGCCTCGGAGAGGTTAAGGTGTGTCTGGAACAGTTGATCGGGTGGTAGGCCTGGCATCACAGTGCCCCTACCACCAGGTGGCCCTGTCTGTCCTCTGCAGACAATGACGAGTGCTTGGCCCAGCCTGGCCCATGTGGTACCCGGGGGCGCTGCCACAATGCCCCAGGCAGCTTCAGCTGTGAGTGCTATCAAGGCTTCACCCTGGACAGCTCCGGTCATGGCTGCAAAGGTAGAGCTGGGCTTGGAAGTGAGGTCTAGACCTCGGGGGTGGCCCTGGGGGCTGCCTGGCCAGCCTCTTGTCCTCTTTCTCCATCTCATAGACGTGGATGAATGCAATGGGCCTCATCGCTGCAAGCATGGCTGTCAGAACGAGCTGGGGGGCTATCGCTGCAGCTGCCCCCAGGGCTTCACCCCACACTCCCAGTGGAGCCAGTGTGTAGGTGAGTGGGGGGGCCTGGGAGGAAGCTGACCCCCAATCAGAATCTGTCCAAACTTGGTGACTGGGAACCGCTCCAAGGGCAGGATGCTGTGATAAGCAAGACTACCTAAAGGTCCGATGGGCTGGTCTAGAAGTTAGTTGAGTTCCCTGCTGCTGGGGAGGCTAGGGAGTCAGGCGTCTGCAGAGCCAGTGTGGCAGAGTGGTAGTCATTTCTCAGGGAGTGGTAGTCTAGATTCAGCGGAGAGTCTGAGATGTGCCTAGGATCACTAAGAAAGTGTGCTGGGATTGATTAGTGATGTCTGCCATGAATGTGGCAATGGAAATAAGTATGTGTATGCTACATCTTTTGTCATACCTGTTGCAGATGCCCTGAGTTTGAGGGACTAGTCTTCTGCCTTCCCTCCAGCCTTCCTCGTTGCACAGTGTTCTTTGCTGCTCCTAACGACAGCCTCATCCTCAGCTCTCCTCTTCTTTCTCCCCTGCAGTCTAGTCTTCACATTCTACCCACGTGGGAACCACTCTCCTGCGACCTCTCCATCACCTTTCCTTGGCCTTTGCCTTCCGCCTCCTCTGCTCTGGGTATCACTGTCTGCCCCTCCCGGACTCTCCATCCACTGTGACTCGGCTTGTTCTCTTGCCACTGCCTCCAGCACTGCCTTCTGTCTGGCCCCTCCTCTGGCCCCTCCTGCCCCTCCTGGTGGGTCCTCGGCCAAGTTCTCCATCTTTTGCCCTGTCTCATGTGTTTGTTGTCCCCTGGGAGCCCACAGGTCATCGCCTCGTTGGCCAGTCCCTGTTTCCCAGCCTGTCTCCTGCTCTGCATACTTACTTATTCATTCCTTTGGCAATGGTTTGCCCAGGACCTGCCTCATTCAGGCCCAGTGGATGCAGAAGTGAGCTGAGATCAGACTCCATTGCTACCCACTCGTTGTCCAGTCTCAAGGGGGAGACAGGGATCAATTACACCAGTGGTTCTCAACCAGGTGCCATTTTGAAGTGTCTTGGAGATACTTTTGATGGTCACAACTGGGCCCTGGGTGCTCCTGGCTTTTAGTGGGTGGACAGCCCCCCAAAACAGAGTGAAATGGTCTCAAACAACAGTAGTGCCAAGGGGAGAAATTTTGTTCCAAGAACATCCCACCATTTAGGAATTCCTGGGAGGTTTTTTGTATTCGACGTTTTTTCTTTTCTTTTCCCAGCCACACTGCACAGCATGTGGGATCTTAGTTCCCCAACCAGGGATCACACCCATGCCCCTGTAGTGGAAGCATAGAGTCTTAACCACCGGTCCACCAGGAAGTCCCTAGGATTCCTGGGAAATTTGGAGAAATGCTTCAAAGGAGAATCACGGGATCCAGGGTGGGGAGGTGAAGTATAGGGGCCGACAGACCTAGTCCAAGGACTCACAGGGAGTTTGATGGAGGTTTGTTTTCTTAATAGCTTTATTTATTTATTTATGGCTGTGATGGGTCTTCATTGCTGTGCAGGCTCTTCTCTAGTTGCAGTGAGTGGGTTCTCATTTCAGTGGCTTCTCTTGTTGCAGAGCATGGGCTCTAAGGCCTGCAGGCTTCAGTAGTTGCAGCACATGGGCTCAGTAGTTGTGGCACACGGGCTTAGTTGGTCAGCCATATATGGGATCTTCCTGGATCAGGGATCGAACCTGTATCCCCTGCATTGGCGGGCAAATTCATTACCACTGACCCACCAGAGAAGCCCCCGATGGAGGTTTTGACACTGGTCTTGGCCTTGAAGAAGGAGCGGGAGTTGCTTCATGGGGACGGGAGCAATGCAGGTGGGGGGCTCAGGAGATCCGAAGGTGGCCTCCCTGCCCCCCACCTCCCGCCCTCTCTCCCCCTCCCCATCCACAGATGAGAACGAGTGTGTCCTGTCACCCTCGGCCTGCGGCAGTGCCGCCTGCCACAACACACTGGGCGGCTTCCGCTGCGTCTGCCCCTCAGGCTTCGACTTTGACCAGGCCCTCAGGGGCTGCCAGGACGTGGACGAGTGTGCGGCTCGGAGCGGCCCCTGCAGCTACAGCTGTGCCAACACCCCCGGTGGCTTCCTGTGCGGCTGCCCTCGAGGCTACTTCCGGGCTGGGCAAGGGTGAGGGGCTTGAGTGGAGTGAACCCAGAGCCCCCCATACCCCGGGAGTGCACACACACTCGCGGGCCCACATGCAGGCATGTATATACCTGTATGCTGAGAAGTGGTGCGGAGGCCCAGCAACACCTGTGGATGTGCACACACAAGCTCACACCCCACTGTAGTGTGTCATTGACCTGTATACCTTCATCTGCTCAGTGCTAATATACCCAAGTGTGCACAGGGCTCACACCTGTGCCAACATGCCTGGGTACCCTTGTGCATTCCTGTATCCTCGTGTGCACATGTGTGCAAGCCCATGTTGACAGGGTGCATGCAGGTTCGCACCCACACCCACGTAAGTCAAGGGCTGCACACACACATGTAGGTGCATGCCAAGCCTCACTGGCACACTCATCTTCGTCCCCATGGGCAGTGTGGCTCCAAGTGGAGTGTAGGGCGGTGGAGTGGCTGGGGAGGTCCCACCAGCCTGACTCACCTGTCCCCTGTCCTGGCCTAGGCACTGTGTCTCTGGCCTGGGCTTCAACCTGGGACCCCAGGATGCCCCAGATGAGGGGGAGCCGCTCTCGCCCGAAGCCTGCTACGAATGCAAGATCAACAGCCAGCCCTCTCGTGACCGGCCACGGCGCAGCACCCGTAGGGACCACCAGGTGCCGGGGGGGTGCACTGGGCATGGGGAGCAGCCAGGGGACGGGCAGAGATGAGGAGCACAGACTCCAGATCACAGCTATCCCCCGTGTCATGGTGCCTGCCTGCATCTTCCTGTACTTTCTCAGCCTGAGGATTCCCCTTGGGAGTTCTCGGGGGTCACAGGCCCCCCAAACACCCCAACTTGCTCCCAGTGACAAGTCAGACCCCTCCCACACAGACCCTGGGTGTGATGCCTCCTGGGGATCCTTTCCATGGCACTTGGATGCAGGAGAGATGCCTTGAGGCCCCAAACCTGCCTATGCCCTGGGACTTGTCACCTGTCACCTGGCTGGGACAGCCCTCTCTCAGAGTCCCTCTGGGTTTAGGCACCAGTAACCCTCAAAACAGCCAGCTTAACCCCTTCTTCCCTCCCCTTCCTTCAGACCCTCTGCCTCTGCACCTCTTTCCAGTACCCATGATGCTCCTGGAACTATGCCCAGGCCTCCTGAACCCTCCTTGTCTCTGGAAATTGCAAGGGTCTCTCCCCCCTCCCCACTACACTCTCAAGAACAGCAGAGCAGTTCTGCAGTTTAACCCCTTTGGCCCCTGGGGCCACTCCAGCCATGGCCCTGACCCCACCAGCTTGTGTGGGGAGGATGTTTTTGTCACAGATTCAGCTTGCTTGTGCTTCAGCTGAACAGTCCCTGAGGCCACGTCTGGCCAGTCTTGCCACCATCCCCTCTAAGGCATCTGAAAGCTAAGCATTTGTTGAGCACCTGCTGGATACATGTGCTGCTCTAAGCACTTCTTTTGCTTTTCTTTTCCTTCTAGTTGTTGTTTTCCCCTTTCTGGGAAAAACCATGTGGGTATATTGCCTTTGTTGCCATTATTTTTGTAAGCTTCACAGGGGTAAGGCCCAGTGTCTCAGGTTTGCCACTGTTTCACCAGTCCTTGAAACTCAGTAAGAGTGACTGGAGTGGTTGTCAGGGCTCCTAGCATGGACCCAAGCAGATCTAGGCAGAAGCAGGCTGGGTCTTGTGGTTTTGCTTGCAATACCCATAGACTGCCAGCAGGTGTCACTAAGAGTGCATGTCTAGCAGCATTGCTGGTGAAGGGCTAAATCTCTGAAACTGAAGGGCAGGGGAAGGAGGGGCACGGACAGGAATAGCTTTCACTTTCAGGCAACAGCAAAACACCCCCGTCAGCATGTAAATTAGGCAGAACAAACAGCTCTGCCCAGAGCAAAGGAGACGAAAACACAGATAACCTCCTGTGGGATTGGACGCATCACCCAGCCACGGTCAGCCTGCCATTGAGGTTTGCTGGCTTATTCAGGGGGCCTGTCTGGCTGCCAGGGCCAGGAAGCATTCAGAGGAGCTCAGATAAAGAGGGGTTTGTCATCTGCACACAGCGGGGCTCTCAGAGAGCCCAGATGCAGGAAGTGCGGCAGGCCTCCGGAACTGGAGCGATACTGGGCAGCTCCTCTGTCTGGCTCCTCTGTGTTTCTGTCACTGTGTGTCTGGGGCTGGCTCTTGCTGCAATGCCCATGGTCATAACTCTAGCCACCCCAGACCACCTTTGAGTGACCTTAGTGTTTTGGGGCCTGATGCCGTCTGACTGCCTCCTGGTCTGGGTTGTTGTTCGGTTGTCAAATCGCATCTGACTCTGTAACCCCATGAACTGCACCATGCCGGGCTTCCCTGTCCTTCACTATCTCCAGGAGTTTGCTAAAACTCATGTCCATTGAGTCAGTGATGCCATCCAACTATCGTCCTCTGTCGTACTCTTCTTCTTTTGCCCTCAATATTTCCCAGCATCAGAGTCTTTTCCAATGAATTGGCTCTTCACATCAGGTGGCCAAAGTATTGGAGCTTCAGCTTCAGCATCAGTTCTTCCAATGAGTATTCATGGGTTGATTTCCCTTAGGATTGACTGGTTTGATCTCCTTGCAGTCCAAGGGACTCTCAAGAGTCTTTTCCAGCACCACAGTTGGAAAGCATCAATTCTTTGGTCTGGGTATCTGACGGGGAATCCTCTATTTCTTCCATCCAGACTGGCAGGGATCCAAGTAAGGTCCCTCGGTCAAAACAAGGGGTCTGAAGTCAGCCTGGCTCCCCCTCTTTGCTTTCCACTTGGGAACCAGTTTTCACCTTCACCCTCTGTCTACAGCCCAAGCTGACCATTGGCCTTGTGGGTGGAGGGCTAGACAGGAGTCAAGGGCATTGAGTGGTCCCTTTTTTACTCCACTTTAGAGACTGGCTGAAAGTCTCCTCTTGGCCCCCTGCCTCCCACCATACCCTGGCATTCTGATTTCTCCGAGCCCCTGCCATCATCCACCCGGTCTTTCTCCCCAGGCGAGCCTGGCCAGCCTTGACACGGAGGCTCCGCTGACCTTGGGACTGAACCTCTCCTGTCTGGGCCAGGCCCAGCACATCCTAGAGCTGAGGCCAGCGCTGGAGAGTCTGGGGGGCCGCATCCGCTATGTCATTGCCCGCGGCAACCAACGAGGCTTCTTCCGCATGCATCACCTTCATGGTCTCAGCTCCCTGCAGCTGGGGCGCCGGAAGCCAGGGCCTGGCACCTACCAGCTGGAGGTTGTGAGTGTGGCCGAGCCCTGGGGCACCCAGCCAGAGGGGCGGCCGGGGGGCCGAGCCTTGCGGCTGAAGGTGCAGTTGCAGCTACTGTAATCCGGGGGTTCCCACACCTCCCACCTAGCCCCAGGCACCCCCTGCAACCTGATTTTCAGACTCACCACCTGGTCACTGCCCCACTCCTGCCTCCTTCCATGGGGTTTTGGGGAAACTGATGTCACTCTGTTTGCTATGACCCACCCCCCCACCGGGAGACCCTAGTGACAAGCCCTGGACTCAGTGGGCCCCAGGGTCCCCATGTGGTCCTCCTCTCCAGAGGTGGGAGATTTGGAAGGCGGGAGGGTTCGATCCCCTGCAGCAATGGCCGACCAGGTGGAACCCCAAAACTCAGGAAGAGTGAAGTGCTATCCTCTGACCTCAAGCGAGCCCGGCCTCTACCCGAGGGACCCCGACACTGTTTCCTGGAGACAGCTGGCAGCCGCAGCTGTGTGCCCCCTCCACTTCTACAGCCAGGGTCCAGGAGGGCCCTGGGTTTCACTGTATCTGGTCAATCTCAGGCTGAAACTTCTGCACTGCAGGGGGTCGGGAGGCCATGGGAATGGGTGGCTGGAGTGGGCCTAAGGCTCGTCTCTTCCATCAGAAGAGCACGCGGGGCCCCAGCTCAGTCACTGATGTGCAACCATGTTCATCATCCCCACGGGGAGCTGAGCTAAGGTTCTGAGGATACTTTCATATCAGAAGCAGAGACAACAATAAAGTTATTTTGGGTTAAGCACGTCCTTTGGCAAGTTCTGGCAGTAAAGGCTGTTCTTGGCAGGGCCAGGCAGGGCTTACGAGGAGGGGACCAGGAGGGCAGCAGCTTTGGGAAGCATGAGCTTCTGCCCCAGGTTCTGAGGAGGAAGGGTGTAGGTGAGATGGGTGAAAACCAACACTGCATCTTGGGGCATCATCCCAGGGTGCAGGTAGGTTCTGCCAACTTCAGACCTGGGAGTTCTGGCACAAAGTCAGGCTGCAGTGCTAACCACGGGTTCCCTCGAGGGTTTACCATCACTGATAATAATGATTCATGAGCCTAGACGACATACTATACCAGGCACCATTCCAAGTATTTTACCATTACTGACCCATTTGGTCTTTCTTACTGAGTCCAAGCTCGCACACTGCTCACTGCACGACAGGTCGATAAATCGAGAGATGAGATGTTGGGGCAAAGAATAGCAACTTTATTCAGAGAGCCAACAAACTGAGAAGATGGTGGACTTGTGCCCCAAAGGAATGTGTTGCCTGAGTTGAATCCAGGCTTCTTTTATACTAAAAGGGGAGGGTGTGAAGTCAAACCAATTTCCTGGTTCTGGTCAGCCTCCAGAGGGGAGGGGATGTGTTAATTTCTTCCTTCCTGCAGTCGTTCACAGGTGGGCCTGGCCTGGATGTCTCCTGTAAGCTAATCAAAGGTGTTTTAGCTTTGTGCTCATTACCTGGGAAGCAGGGTTCCCAGAGATGGGTCGTTATGTATAATTTAAGCTTATAGGCAACATCCTTTTAGTGATTAACTTGAAATAGGATACAAAAGGCTCTTCCCTGTTACATATATAACCCCGTGGAATAAGTACTGTTACTCTCATCCCCATTTTACAGATAGGAAAACTGAGGCTGAGAGAGATTGAGCAACCTGACCAAGGCAACACCAAGGTACAAGTAGAAGAACCGAGTTCAAAGTCAGGGAACCTTGCCCGGTTGGGCTGGATCTACTGAATTTGATGGCCAAGCTCAATAGACTCATCGTGTTAAGGTTAAGCTTGTGCAGGTGCTTTGATGTGTAACAAATGATAGCATATTTAGTTCCCATGAACTTGTATGAGGCAGGCAGTGTTACCACCTCCGTTTTACAGAAGGGAAACCAAGGCTTCAGGAGTTTGTGGAACCTGCTCCGGGCACCCACAGAGTGTAGTGGGACCAGGACATTCCGCCGAGTCTGCACCCTGGCCCCCGACCACTTATTGTCCTCTAGGGATGGTACATTTGGGTCTCATCTGGAACATTCTCTGTCATGGTGGAAACGGAGGCCGCACAGTTGGGTGGCTCGACCCTGGGTGAGATTCCCAGGGCCCCGGTGTGTGGCTCTACCTTCCCCTGGAGAGCAGTCACTAGTGCTTGGCTACAAGGCTCTGTACTTACTCCGGTCCTGGCCCACCTGACTTGTCAGGAGCCTCTGGGTCCCATCAGAGTGTGTGGAGAACCTCTCTGTCCATCACCCAGTCTCACTACAGCCCAGCGGTCTGGGCAGAGCAAGCATGGTGACCCCAGTGGTGAGAAAGGAAGAAAGGCTGATCTGCTCAAGGCCGCCACTGTGAAGCACAAGGTGGGACTCACACAGAGCCTGCAGCCACTCATACCAGTGCTCGGCCCTCCCAGCCTAAGAGCATAGATCCTGTGGTCAGAGGGCATCATGTGGGTTTCAACACAGGCTGGGTTTCACACCACATAATGAAAGGTGACAGAGACAAGCATGGCGTCCCATCTTTGGTTTATTTAAAAGTTTTGGAAGCAGGTCCTGGGAGAGAACTGAAGCTCTGCAGGGACCCAGAGGGATGCAGGTAGGTGTGTCCATGCAGGCAGGCAACGATCGCCATGGTTCTTTCCGAGAATGGTTACCCAGGCAGGCGTGACTCTGGTACCTGGAGCAGGCGCAGGGCTTGAAGTAACAGGGCTCCCTGGTTCCAGTTGCTGGAGGGGCAGGAGGTGGCAGGGGTGACAGGGAGAGGCCGGGCACAGCCTCAGGTACAGGGGTTGAGATTTGCCCTGGAGGACAGAAGGGCTGGGGCAGTCAAGGCCGCAGAGTGATGACTGTGGCAGAGAGAGGTCCGGCCCATCTCGTGTGGGCAGATCCTGGAGTAGTGTGGGCTCACGGTCCTGCTGGAGGGATCAGAGGGATTGGCAGGTGAGGAGGACTGGAGTGGAGTGAGGTGGGGGGGGCCCTGCAGCTTTTGGTTCACATGCCTGGCATTTCATTACCCTGCCGAAGCCCCTCTGGACAGAGGCAGGGTGATGATCAACCCCCTAGGACTCGCCCATGTGAATCGATGAGGCTGATCAGAGAGCCCTCATTCCTCTGCAGCAGTGATGGGGCGCAGTTGGGGGTGGGAGGGAGATGCGAGGAGAGGGGTGGTCACGTGACCAACAGTCGACCTGGATTAGCAGTTGACAGGAGGGAAGTTTTCCTCTTGCTGTTTCTGGTGGAGACCCTGAACCTCGACAATGGAAGTGTTGAGGTTCCAGAGCTCAATTTCCTCACCCCAGAGTGAGGGACTGTCAGAAGGCAAGAGAAATAGAAAAAGAGTGCCGCCTATACCTTTTGAGCACCTGGATCCACCCTAACCTGAAGCCTCATGCTGGCTGGTTATTTGAGTCAATGAGTTTCCTGTTTTCTTGAATTTACCATCTCTAGCTATTGAAAGTGTCTTGACTTAAAACTGCACATTGCTTCAGCCTCCCACTCACCCGCCCCTGCCTCTCCCTGGCGTGGAGGCAGCTGTCAGAGACTTGGTTGTCATCCCCTCCTTCGAGGGTTGAGAAGTTCAGGGGCTGCAGCTGGGAGGATGGACTTCTTAGATGCTGGCCTGGGGTCTCACCCACCTCGGAAGTTTCTCCGGGTGCCGTGATGCTTCTCCGGGTGCTTTAACTGGCTCTTTTTCCGGGCATCCAAAATCTTCATCCCAGCCAGAACCCACTTGGCCCCTGGCCTCCCACATACCATCTTGTTTTTCTGGGGTAAGAAGAATCTGCAGGGATGGGGATGCCCAGGTGAGGATGTAAGTGGAGAGGAAAGTTGTGTGACGGCCCCTGCCGATTCCCCCGCCTATTCCCCGCGGTCCCACTCACATCACAGCAGGCAGATTGCAGCTCCCGCTCACATCCTGGCGGTGGTAGCTCTGGGCGTGCCGCAGCACGGACAGCCTGGCCCGGCGGTGGTAGGCCAAGCAGCAGTCCTCAAAGGCACCTGTGACCACACAGCCGCCCACAGGCTCAAGTCTGAGCACGAGCATGTATGGCCGCGCATGCACTCTGCAGGGCCGTCCACAGACACGGCACCTACGCGCATGTGCGGCTACGTATGCCTGCAGAGATGCCCCCACTAAGGTGTGTGGCCGCGCATGCGCTCTGCAGGGATGCCCACAGACGTGGTTATCCACGCGCACACGCTGCAACCCTTCTAGGCACTGTGGAGGCCCAGGGACGGCGCAGACAGTGAGGTAGCCGCTGGATTCATCTCGGGCCCTTGACAAAGGGACAGCTGGCAGGAGTCGGAGAGGGCCCCGCAGGCCCCAGCTGGGAAGGGTCCAAGACCATGAAATAAATCGACCAAGGCCATTTCCATTCCTGCTCCGGTGCAGAGGGCAAGGAATGGGTGCAATGGCCTGAGAAGGGGAGGGGGCGTGGTTTGAGGTGGAGGTGCTGATGCCAGAAGTATCAGGGAGGATGAAAGGGTGGGATGAGCAGAGGATGAATTAATATGGAAACAGTGCTGGGCCTTCAAGGTCCTCTGGGGTCCGTCCCTCTGACAATCCCTGCCTTCAGGAGCCACATCTGACTTCTGGGAGGGCCTTGGGAGGACTTGAAGGCTCCCTCCATCTCCACCTTGACACAGAAAGCAAGGAACAGTGGAATCGGATAGACCGTGTTGCAGTGCTGGGCAGGAAGCTTCCCGGGGCTGGGGGCAACCATGCCCCCAGGATCAAAGGGCCCAGGTTGGGCCTGGCTCCTGAAATGGGCCTTTTATTAGAGGACAATGAGAAGGAGGCCCAGCCCCATCCTGGGCAAAGGCTAAGGTCTGCTGGGGCAGGGCGAGGGCCTCTCAGACCTAATGAGGGGCAGGTGGGGCAGGTGGGTGGGGCCATGGCGCTTCCACCTGGCCAGGGGTTCTGCTTGGCCACCTGCTGGGACTCAGCTGCCTCCTCAGGCCCACGGGGATGGAGAAAACAGTGGCAGAGCTGAGGGAACACTGGGGGGGCATCCGGAATGACCTTTGGTCCCCAATATCCTCAAGTGCCTAATCTCCGGAGAGGAGGAGAGAAATTCGTTAATAGCAGTAATGGTTATCATAGTAGCTGCCAAGCACTGGGCCAGGAGTATCCAGTTGAATCCTCATGTCCCATCTCTGCAGTGGGAATTTGGAACCCAACTTTGCAGATGAAAAAATTGGGGGTCATAAAGGCCAGACCACACAGGTAGCCTGGGTGGGGGAGCCAAAATGGAGACCCATTTTCATTGGGCTCCCAGACTCTGATCTCAACGACCCCTACCCCTAGGGGCTTTGCAGGCTCAGGTCACTGCAATGTGTCCTGGGCGGTAAGCAGCCATGCTGCCATCTGCTCTCCATAGTTCCTGGACTGGCTGGAGTTTGGAGGGATGCCTTGGGTCATGGACTGTGGGGGAGGCACCCAGGGGCTCTGGAAGGAGAGGCTGAGGACCATCACCCCCAAGGAGCTGCACAAATGCTGGGAGTTTTTGCATGCCTGCTGGGGGAGCTGTCCATCAGAGAATGGATTCAGTGCTGATGGCATCAGGGGAGGTTTCTGGAGGACGGGAGAAGCATATTGGGAGCGGGAGGCACAGGAAAGATGGGGAGAGGGGACTCCAGAGGTGGGGGTAGGGATGAACTGAGTCAGTACCTTGAGCGTGGACAGTGGGAGCCCAGGCAACCACGAAGCAGCCCACCAGGCAGACCAGGAGCCACGGATTCATAGTGCAGGCTGGTCCTCCCCCTCTGGCACCTACCCTGAGAATTAACTGGGGAGAACAGGTGGGTGGATGATGAGGACCCAACAGGGATGGCGGCAGGCACTGGGAGCACCCCCATCTCAAGCCAGGGCCCCCTGCATAGGAGGCAGGTGGCATGGGGTGCGGACAAGTGCTGCACGGACCTGTTGCTGGTTTCGGGGAGGACTCACCAAAGCCTATGGGGTCCCTGGAGCTGGCGCCTGCTGGAGTGGACCTGAGCTCTCCTGCCTGCCAGGCCAGCAGGCTTCACCCTTTATAGACGGAACCCCACCCTGCCGCTCCGCCCTCCCTCCTGCTCCCTCACTCCACCTCCTGGCTTCTCCCTCCAGCCCTGCCCTCCTCTCCCTATTTTTTCTAGCTCTTCTCTCCAGTGTCATGATGCACTTGGCGGAAGTTGGGGGCCCGGGGTAAAAGGATCCGAATCAAAGAGCTGGGCAGGAAACGATACCTTCAACCAACAGCTTGGATGGGGGTGAGAGGTGGAGGGGTGCAGGTGGACAGACCCAGCCTTGACCTTAGCCAGCCCCCTTGAAGGTTCACCTTCTCCCCCTCCAGGCCCCTCAGCCAGCACCCTGGCTTTCTCCCTGAAGGGCCTTTTCTCCTCCTCCTCCTCCTGGCTCCTTTCTTGCTGCACCTCAAGGTGGACCCTGGCTTCCCACAGGCAGGACTCAGGCTGCCTAGAGCAGGGGAGAGCCTTCACCTCTTCTCCCTACTCCCCAGACACCTGTGCCCATGGGGCCTTGACTTCAAACCATTTTTCTCTTCTTCCATACAGTAGGGTGACTTATTGTGTCACAGAGAAGCCCTGTTTTTTGAGAACAGGCAAACCCACAGAAACAGAAAGTAAAATCAGCTGTCACCATAGGCTGGGAGGAGGGGAGAATGGGGATGAGGGTGAAAGGAACGGTATAGATTTCTTTTCGCTCTGAAATTAGATGGTGGTGGTGGTGGAGGGACTCTGTGAATATAGTAAATAGCATGGAATGGTACACTTTCAATGGGTAATGTCTCATGCAAAAAAAAAAAAAAAAACCGATATTAAGAAAAGAGTTTTATTCGAGCCAGACTGAGGGCTAGCCCAGAAGCCTGCTTCCCAGGTTACTCTGTGAAACTGTTCCAAAGAAGCAGGGTTTTCAGCAGTTTTGTATCTTGTCAGAACAAAGAATGTTAAACAATTCAGGGAGACATTTCTTCAAGGTCTCAGAACAGACCAGCACGTTTGAGGCAAGTCAGTATGACCTTGGCACCTGTGAAGTGAGTCTTATTATCAAAGGAGGACCAGCGCTGGCATCCCGGGAAGGACTTTAATCTTTATTTTGGACATGGACATCCTTGACTTCTGGTCAGTATCCTCTTCTTTAATAATTAAAGCAGATGTACAATGTAGGTTGATAGGCCACAAACAGGCTTTTTTAGCTAGCATCAAATTTAAGTTAACAGGGGACCTCCCTGGTGGTCCAGTGGTTAAGCCTCCACGCTCTCAATGCACGAGACCTGGGGTTCAATCCTTGGTGAGGAATCTCAGATCCCCTCAAGCTGAGAGCCATGGCCTAAAAATAAGAATAATAATAATGAAATTCAAGTTAACTCATGTATTAGCCACAATGGCTTCCCTGTCTCTGTCTCTATATATATATATTTCTTTAACAGTGCAATATATGCAACTTAAACTTTCCCGAATATTATCTTGAGAATAAGGATCACAATAATGTTCTGGTTTTGGGAGAAAAGCGGGAGCTCCAGGTAACCACGCCAGCAGGCACCCACCTAGAAGGAGTTTCTTTTTTTCTAGGGGCAGCGTGGTCCAGCTGGAACAGAGGGGTGAGGGTGGGGGCCGTGGGGGTGGAGGAGCAGCAGGTAGCGAGGAAGGGGACGCTGCAGAAACCTCACAGTTGTAACCTCACGTCTGTAACTTTTTATAGTCGACTTCCTTAGCTGTAGATCATTCGGGGCATTTATGACATTCTCTACCCCTTTCTCATCTCTCCAGCTCCACCAGGAGACCCTGGCGGGGCCCCTCACCCTCTCCCTGGGGCCCGGTCGCGTGGCTAAATGGGTGAGGCTTGGCGTAGGGGCCGGGCCTTGATGAAAGACACTGAGCGCCGGGGCGGAGCTTTCTGACGGGCTGAGACCAGGGCGGTGCTTACGGATTCACCGGCCTGGAGCCCAGCGGTCCTGCGCCGGTGGTGGCCGCTCCTGGAGTAGGTGAGGCTGGTCCAGGACGCGGTTCCGCGTGGCTGCGAGCTTGGGGACGCGGCGTGGCGGGCCGGGACCAGCCTCCCCGCTAAGGCCCACCGTCCCTGCCTGCCCGGTCGGCGGGCAGCGGCCAAGACGTGGCGTTACCCAGTAGTAGCGGAGGTCCCCGGTGAGCAAGCCCACCTCCCCGCCGCTCACAGTTAGTCCCACCAGCAGCTTTAAAAGGGAGCAAGGGCTCTGAGGAACCAGCACGCAGGGCAGGCAGGGGTTTTTGCACTCAAGTGTCTGAGCGGCGGACAAGATGCTTCAGGACTAAGGGCCCTGGGGGGAGACCTGGAGCTCGGAGGACCGCAGTTGCTGATTGTGGGGCCAGACCTCCACGGTCAGGGCTCAGCTGAGAAAGGGGCCTGTGTTCCCGCAGCTCCTGGAGGTGGTCAGGGTCAACTGTCTCCAGGGAGGGGACCCTCTTCTCCGCATGTGTGAACACAGCGCAGAGGACAAAGCCGCCTCCTGCTCCCCAGCCCTGAGCTCTGAGCATGAGGCCGTTGTGGGTCACCGCCAGCTGCAGCTGAGCCAAATTCAGGGACTGACCACACCCCAGGGCCCGCAGGGCAGGATGCAGTGCAGGGTGAGGGGAAGGGGACAGGGGCACAGCTCAGCGCACCTCTCGGATGGCCATACTGCAGAATGGGGCAGCCAGGTGGCTGGGTGAGGGGAAATACCAACCACTGGCTTTGGAGTGAGCTCCTCTGGGGGAGTCTGGGTACCTGGCTCGCTCTCATTTCTCTGCTGGAGGACCTCCCAGGTGCTCATAACAGTTGACAAATATTATAGAGAAGGAAACTGAGGGTCTGAGAGGCCCTTTTTCACCCTTTTTATTTTTTATTCTTTGGCCAGGAAAACCCGCCTTTTATTACTGTGAAGAAAGGGGGACATCTCCTAATGGAGGAAGGCCACTGAGCAGAGACCTGGGGCTCATCAGGAAGGATCATGGGTGGCGGGCCTCCTGCAGTTGCTCTTGCATCACACCTCCACCTCTTAACGCCCCATGCTGCCTACTGCCCTCCTGAACCTCTGGTACCTCCAGGTCCTGGTTCAGGTGGCCTCTGAGAGAAGCCACTGGGATGCCATCCCCACCCCACCCCGCACCATCCTGACTCCACACACCAGACCCTGGGTATCCTGTCTGCCAGGCCTGGGCTCTGTTGTACCCAGCTGCCTCTCACTCTGGTCCAGATGCACAGTGGTTGCTAGGCAACTGGAGGAAGGAAGGAAAAGTGCTATTTTTTTTTTAAAGGATGGGACTTAGTTCCCTGTGTGACCCATTTTACTGTGTTCCCCATGTAGTTGGCCTGCCTCCTGCAAAGTCAGATTTGAAAGGCTTCCCTCCCCGGACTGACCAGCTGCCTGTGTTCCAGGGGACCTGCACAGGGAACTCGGGCTACCACCACTGGTCGTGGCCTCAGTTCTTGTGTTTCTCCCGCACCTATTGAACATTCGGGGGCTGGGCCAGCTGGGGCAGGGGTGATGTGGAAAGGGAGGGCGGTGGGTCCTGAGGAGAGGGTCCCATAGGGGTATGAGTCCCTCTTTGAAGATGCTGGGGCTTCCCTGATAGCTCAGTTGGTAAAGAAACTGCCTGCAATGCAGGAGACCTCAGTTCGATTCCTGGGTCAGGAAGATCCAATGGAGAACAGATAGGCTACCTACTCAAGTATTCTTGGGCTTCCCTTGTGGCTCAGCTGGTGAAGAATCCACCTGCAATGCGGGGGACCTGGGTTTGATCCCGGGGTTGGAAAGATCGCCTGAAAAAGGGAAAGACTACCCACTCCAGTATTCTGGCCTGGAGAATTCCATGGGGTCGCAGAGTTGAACACAAATGAGCAATTTTCACTTTGAGGATGCTGAGCTCCACTCAGCCCTTCCACACAGGTATCTGGGCACCTGTTATATACCAGCCACGTTCCCAGGGGTGACTGGAGTGAGCAAGCAGATGTCTCCCAGCCAGGAAAGACAATGGCAATGTCACTGATCTTCATCAAACACCTGTTTGGGGCCATTTGTTATTCATTCAACAAACAGGTGGTGAGCACCTACTGTATGCCAGGCACTAGGTTGGGTGCCCTGGATAAGCAGTGCAGAGCAGACAGGTAGCAAGTTATGAAGCAAGATCCTTGGAGACAAGCATCGCTGTTTCAAATCTGGAGGTGGCAGGAAGATGCTGGGGATGGGTTGGTCTCCTCTAAAGAGAGTGGCTTGAGGTGACAGAAAATGCTATGGGATTAATATTTATCCCCACTGGACAGGGGAAAAAACAATCATCTGAGGTCCAGAGAGGTTAAGTTACCTGACTAAGTGGCAGCCAGATTCCAAGTTGAGGTCTGACTCCTTCATTCCACATATACATTTTGGGAACTGCATTATGCATGTCTTTTTTTTTTTTTTTTTTAAAGTAATGTATTTTGTTTAACCCTATCTATCCAAGATAATGGGCTTCCCTGGTGCCTCAGTGGTAAAGAATCCACCTGCCAATGCAGGAGACGCAGGTTTGATCTCTGGGTTGGACAGATCCCCTGGAGGAGGAAATGGCAACCCACTCCAGTATTCCTGCCTGGGGAAATCCCATGGACAGAAGGAGCCTGGTGGGCTACAGTTCATGGGGTTGCAAAAGAGACATGACTTAGCAACTAAACAACAAGCTAAGATAATATCATTTCAACATGCAATCAAAAAAATGATTTATATTTTCCCTTTTTTTGCATAGTAAGTGTTCAAAACATGGCTTACTGAAAAATTTCAGTACACTTAAAGTGCTAAATAGCCACATGTGCCTGGTGTCTGTCTTACTGGACACTGCATTTCCAGCCACAGATCACAGTCAATTCAAAATTTTACATTGCTTCTTTTCTTTCATTTTCTATTGATTTTTTTTTAAAGGGCAGTTTAATTTTCCCAGCAAAATTGAAGAGAAGGTACAGAGATTTCCCATACATCCCCTGCCCCACATTCAACAGCCTACATCTCAGAGGTGTGTTTGTTACTGGCAATGAACCTACAATGACCACGACCATCCTACCATCACCATCATCCAAAGTCCAGAGTCTGCATTTGGGTTCACGCCTGCTGTTGTACATTCCATGTGCTCAGTCACTCCAGTCATGTCTGACTCTTTGCGGCCTCATGGACTGTAGCCCACCAGGCTCCTCTGTCCATGGGATTTTCCAGGCAAGGATAGTAGAATGGGTTGCCATGCCCTCCTCCAGGGGATCTTCCCAACCAAAGGATCAAACTTGCATCTCCTGCATTGGCAGGTGGATTCTTTACCATGACCGCCACCTGGGAAGCCCCTGTACATTCTACATGTTTGGACAAGATGTATAATGACATATCCACCATTATGGTGTTATACAGAATATTTCACTGCTTTAAAAACCCTCTAGGCTCCCAGCATGTCTTTTTTATTCTGATGTTTTGACAGCTGGGGACTTGCTGACCCTGAAGGTACTACCTCTCCTAGGGCTAGCAGATTCCCAGAGATAGTAAATGGCTTCCTTTCAAAGGCACCTTTCATATGCAAACCAGCCAGTCCAGAGCTCATATCCTAACCCCCTCCTCTATCAGGCTCCCACACTCAGAGTCACTATTCTCCAGCCCGGGTCACCCCAGGGCCAGGCAGTAGACAACTAGGGACAGGCTCTATGTCCCAGAGCCTGCTGAAATGATTCAAACTAGCAAGTCCTAAGCCTGCTTACCCAGCCTCACTCAACCCTTCCCAGGGAAATCACAATAAGGGGGACTTTCCTGGTGGTCCAGTAGTTAAGAATCTGTCTGCCAATGTCGGGGACATGGGTTCCGTCCCTAGTCTGGGAAGATCCGACATGTTGAGGAGCAACTAAGCCCATATGTTACAACTACTGAGCCTGTGCTTTAGAGCCTGTGAGTGGTAATTACTGCAGCCGGTGTGCCTAGGGCCCATGCTCTGTGCAACGAGAAGCCTGTGCACTGTAACAATGAGTAGCCCCTGCTTGCTGCAACTAAAGAAAGCCCGTGCATGGCATCAAAGGCCCAGCACAACCAAAAGCTGATTAATTAATATTTTAAAAAATTATGATAGAGAATACAGTTTTTTCTCATAGATCCCAAGAGGAGGGGGCATAACACACCATGCGGGGAAACTTGGGGAAGCACCAGGGTCAGTAGGGAGACAGGAGCAAGGAGAAAGCAGGGCACGAGCCTTTCTTGTGGCTTCCCTAGGGAAGGCCATGCCAGGCAGGGTAAGAGATTTGGGGCTGGCCAGTTTGAACACTCTTGGCTGGCCCCAGGGGCGGAGGGGCTCTCCCTGGTGGTCTGGTATACCTCTCCCTGGGGGAACTAAGGCAGGGGGATTTTGCTTCCCAGGAGTGTGAGAGCCTGACAACAGAATTGGCTGGAGTCTGAGCTCTGGATTGGTTGCCCTGCATCTGAAAGGCTCGCTCCCAGTTACCGGCTCTCTCTAGGGATTGCTCTAAGGGCAGTCTGTCCCAGATCAGCAAGGCTGGCAGATGTCAAAACATTATAAGACCCAGAAAATAAAACCCATGATGAGAATGCTCATCACCTCTCTCCTCTCATCACCTGTCATCCCCTCTTGCCTGTTTCACAGTCACTCCTTTTTGGCAATGGGTGAATGCCAAGGACGGCCTTCAAGTCTCTCTGGTGTCTCTCACTCTCCTGCCCCACTGCCCCCCATCACCTCCCACTCTTGGACTCCTGCCCTGGCTCCCACTGAAGCCTAACAGTGGCCCCTTGCCACCCCTCCCCTAAGACTGTTGCCTCCTTTGAGCCAAAGCTTCAGAGACACAACCCATTTTGTGTCGATCGTCATCACTGTGTCAAGAGCGTTTTCCCAAGTTTTCAGCCCTGGTCCCTTCTGAAGAGGGCTGAGGCCACACAAACACTGTGTTGGGATTCTAGCTGCTGACAGAAGGCGTCAATGTGCCTCAAAGATCATATGTCTGTTTGGCTGTGAACTTCTGCAACTCAAGACTCGCTTCCCCTTGAAGTAAGTAAGTTCAGTCGCTCAGTCGTGTCAGACTCTTTGCAACCCCATAGACTGCAACACACCAGGCTTCCCTGTCCATCACCACCTCCAGGAGCTTACTCAAAATCATGTCCATTGAGTCTGTGATGCCATCCCATCATCTCATCCTCTGTTGTCCCCTTCTCCTCCTGCCTTCAATCTTTCCCAGCATCAGGGTCTTTTCCAGTGAGTCAGTTCTTCGAATCAGGTGGCCAAAGGACTGGAGTTTCAGCTTCAGCAGCAAGTCCTTCCAATGAACAGGACTGATTTCCTCTAGGATTGACTGGTTGGATCTCCTTGCTGTCCAAGGGACTCTCAAGAGTCTTCTCCAACACTGAAGTTCAAAAACATCAATTTTTCAGCACTCAGCTTTCTTTAATAGTCCAACTCTCATATCCATACATGACTACTGGAAAAAACCATAGCTTTGACTAGACAGACCTTTGTCAGCAAAGTAAACAGTGGCCTCTTGACCTTTGTCTCTGCTTTTTAATATACTGCCTAGGTTTGTCATAGCTTTTCTTGCAAGGAGCAAGCATCTTTTAATTTCATGGCTGCAGTCACCATCTGCAGTGATTTTGGAGCCCAGGAAAATAGTCTGTCATTGTTTCCATTTTTTCCCCATCTATTTGCCATGAAGTAATGGGATCAGGTGCCATGATCTTCATTTTTTGAATGCTGAGTTTTAAGCCAGCTTTTTCACTCTTCTTTTTCACTTTCATCAAGAGGCTCTTTAGTTCTTCTTCGCTTTCTGCCATAAGGGTGGTGTCATCTGCATATCTGAGATTATTGATGTTTCTCCTGGCAATCTTGATTCCAGTTTGTGCTTCATCCAGCCCAGCATTTTGCATGATGTACTCTGTACATAAGTTAAATAAGCAGGGTGACAATATACAGCCTTGAAGTACTCCTTTCCCTATTTGGAACCAGTGTGTTGTTCCATGTCCAGTTCTATCTGTTGCTTCTTTACCTGCACACAGATTTCTCAGGAGGCAGGTAAGGTGGTCTGGTATTCCCATCTCTCTAAGAATTTTTCACAGTTTGTTGTGATCCACACAGTCAAAGGCTTTGGCATAGTCAATAAAGCAGAAGTACATGTTTTTCTGGAACTCTTGCTTTTTCTATGATCCAGCAGATGTTGGCAACTACCTCTGCCTTTTCTAAATACAGCTTGAACATCTGGAAGTTCTCGGTTCATGTACTGTTGTTAGCCTGGCTTGGAGAATTTTGAGCATTACTTTCCTAGCAACATCCAATGGATGATCAAAAAAGCGAGAGTTCCAGAAAAACATCTACTTCTGCTTTATTGACTATGCCAAAGTCTTTGATTGTGTGGATCACAAAAAACTGTGGAAAATTCTTAAAGAGATGACCAGACCACCTGACCTGCCTCCTGAGAAATCTGTATGCAGGTCAAGAAGCAACAGTTAGAACTGAACATGGAACAACAAATTGGTTCCAAATCAGGAAAGGAGTACATCAAGGCTGTATATTGTCACACTGCTTATTTAACTTATATGCAGAGTACATCATGAGAAAAGCTGGACTGGATGAAGCACAAGCTGTAATCAAGATTGCCAGGAAAAATATCAATAATCTCAGATATGCAGATGACACCACACTTATGGCAGAAAGCAAAAAAGAACTAAAGAGCCTCTTGATGAAAGTGATAGAAAAGAGTGAAAAAGTTGGCTTAAAACTCAACATTCAGAAAACTAAGATCATGGCATCTGGTCCTTTCACTTCATGGCAAATAGATGGGGAAACAATGGAAACAGTGACAGACTTTATTTTTTTGGACTCCAAAATCACAGCAGATGGTGAATGCAGACATGAGATTAAAAGATGCTTGCTCCTTGGAAGAAAAGTTATGATCAACCTAGACAGAACATTGAAAAGCAGAGACATTACTTTGCCAACAAAGGTCCATCTAGTCAAAGCTTTGGTTTCTCCAGTAGTCATGTATGGATGTGAGAGTTGGACCATAAAGAAAGCTGAATGCCAAAGAATTGATGCTTTTGAACTGTGGTGTTGGAGAAGACTCGTTAAGAGTCCCTTGGACTGCAAGGAGATCCAACCAGTCCATCCTAAAGGAAATTAGTCCTGAATTGTCATTGGAAGGACTGATGCTGAAGCTGAAACTCCAATCCTTTGGCCACCTGATACGAAGAACCGACTCACTGGAAAAGACCCTGATGCTGGGTAAGATTGAAGGCAGGAGGAGAAGGAGACAACAGAGGATGAGATTGTTGGATAGCATCACAGACTCAATGGACATGATTTTGAGTAAGCTCCTGGAGGTGGTGATGGACAGGGAAGCCTGACGTACTGAAGTCCATGGGGTTGCAAAGAGTCGGACACAACTGAGCAACCTAACTGAATTGAACTTGCTAGTGTGTGAGATGAGGGCAATTGTGCGGTAGTTTGAACATTCTTTGGCACTGCCTTTTCTGGCAATGCCAGAGTTCTGGTAATGTCTGGATTGGAATGAAAACTGACCTTTTCCAGTCCGGTGGCCACTGCTGAGTTTTCCAAATTTGTTGGCATATTGAGTGCAGCACTTTAATAGCATCGTGTTTTAGGAAGTGAAATAGCTCAGCTGGAATTCCATCACCTCTACTAGCTTTGTTTGTGGTGATGATACTTAAGGTCCACTTGACTTCACATTCCAGAATGTCTGGCTCTAGGTGTGATCACACCATCATGGTTATCTGGGCCATTAAAATCTTTTTTGTATAGTCCTTCTGTGTATTCTTCCCACCTCTTCTTAATATCTTCTGCTTCTGGAAGGTCCATACTGTTTCCCTTTGAGGTTGGCTGTAAAAATCAGAAAAGTCTTCTCCTAGTGAGAAGGGAAAAGAATTGGCCAAGGACATGTTGGAGAACATGGAAAGCCTTTCAAAGTCAGCTATGAGAAGCAAAGATCGTGACTTTGGGGGCTTTATGTGCATAACTTTCTTAATTTGCAGAGAAAAACTGGTCATTGTGTCTGTTTCTCCATCCCACTGTTCTAAGCCTGAGAAGGTCTGGTCCACCCTAGCCTTGACTCCCAGTATTCTCCTAAGTCACAGCGGGGGTGGAAGTCCTGGAATCAAGGTGTTAACAGGGCAGTTCCTTCTGGAAGGCTCTCATGGAGAATAAGTTTCCAGGCCTTTTCCAAGTTTCTCACCGCTACCTGCATCCCTTGGCTTGTGGCCCCTTCCTCCATCTTCAAACCCAGCAGTGTGGCCTCTTCTAACCTGTCTCTGACCTCTGTTTCTGTCATCACATCTCCTCTGACCTGTACCCTCCTGCCTCCCTTTCATAAGAACCCCTGTGATTAATGCTAGCCCATCTTGATGGTGCAGGATCACCTCTCATGTCCAGAGCCTCAACTTGATCAACCTGAGAGTCCCCTTGCTGTGCAGTATCATGTATCCCCAGGTTCTGGGCATCAGGACATGTCATCCTGGGGGAAGGGAGTTCTGTTGCCTCCCACAGCACTCATGGGGGGCAAACTCCTAAGGGAGGGCAGGGAACACTCCTCAGGGGAAGTGATGTGCAGACTTGAGGCAGGAGACGGATGGGCCCCAGGCTGAGCAGCCAGAGTTTGTCCCTGGTGGACTGAAACTCCAGAATAGCAGAAGCAAGAGAGAAGCTGGGCCCTGTCCAATAAGACCACACATTCCTCATTTTCAAAATCAAGGAGACCTTCCCAACTATGCATGCGCAGAATGGCTCCTTGGATGTCAAAAGAGAGAGGGCACCACTTCGCAGTAAGTAATGTCAGCCTACCCATAGGCCTCCTTGCTGGAATCCATCTTGGCTAAGAGATGTGCACGCACATATGGGAGGACACTGAGATCACCCAATACGGGCTCAGAACCAGACAAAGCAAGATGACTGGCCAGAGGAAACCCAGAACGCCCTACAAAAGTGATTCAAATTAGCACAAGGGCGTGAGTCTCTCTCTGAGCCCACCCGTGTGTGTATCCCCTGCCTCACCTTTCTAGGGAAAAGCAGTTTCTGGTTCCGCCTGACCCTTGGCCTGCCCTGGATCAGAAGCCCATGTGAGGGTTGAACACTCCTACCTCTGGAATGTGAGGCCCGGCGAGTGAGATGGACACAGAGCTGGGGAGCAGTGCTTCCTCCCCACCCCTCACTCCCCACCCTCCAGCCAGCCCCGATCTGCTCAGGCCTTTGGTCCCTGCTGCACCGGGAAGGGCAGGGAGGCGGGCAGTGTGCTGAGGATGCTGGATCGGTCACCGGATGGGGAACGAGCCAGTTCACCCACGGGACAGCGGACAGGAGGTGATGGGGCTTTTGACAGGAGGGGTGAGTTTGGGCTGGGGTGCCCCCTCCAGCTCCTTATTGCCACCCCCTTGCCCCGCTGTGCTCAGGTTGGTGACATCCCTTAACTACGAGCCCCTGGAGTCTGACAGGTCCTCCTTGGGTGAGGGCAGGAGTGGGTGCCCATCTCACACACTGAGGAGAGGACCCCAGTTTGGGTGGCCTGATCGGGGGGGGGGGGGGGGAATGGGAACAGGGTGGGCTCTGCCAAGACATGGTAAGCCGGGGCTGGTGTCTTACTGCCGTGGGCCCTTGAGAGGTTGACTACTGGTTCACTAGGTCAGCAGAACTTTGACACCTACCGGGTGCTGGAGATGAGGGGGGGTGGCAGGGCCTGCGTTTGCTGACTGCTTGTGGCTCAGCTGGTAAAGAATCCATTTGCAATGTGGGAGACTTGGGTTTGATCCCTGGGTTGGGAAGATCCCCTGGAGAAGGGAAAGGCTACCCACTCCAGTATTCTGGCCTGGAGAATTCCATGGACAGTATAGTCCATGGGGCCTCAAAGAGTCGGACGTGACTGAGTGACTCTCACTTTCACTTAACCAGACTGTGTGCTGGAACAGGCCTAGTGACCGTGCTTCTGGGGGAAAGGACCAGAGAGGTTGCAGGGGCAGAGGGCTGCGGGGACCTGGGTAAAAGAAAGGGCCAGTGCATCAGCACGATGGCTCGGAGAAGCGGAGGCAGGGGTGGCGAGCGCGTGTTCAGGGGGACTTCCCTAGGGGGAAGTCCAGGAAAATCCCTACTCCTGGGGGGAAGCAGGGGCTGGTCTGGGGAGATGAACCAGCCCCCCCATCCCTGCCCCACTGACCAGCCTCTGAGGCTGGGCTCCTGAGACCTGGCTTCCCATCTTCCCACTGGAGCTCCAGGTCTGCTCTATCTACCAGAAAATAGGGAGCCCATACCCCAGAATTCCCATGACCTGTGGAAGACTGGGCAGTGTCGGTGTGTGATGAGGGCCACCCGAGCTCCCCGCCCACACCCAGGGTGGGTATGGCAGAATCACACGCTCCCCAGGCTGAACTCTGTCCTCCCTAAAATCCGTATGTTGAAGCCTTTACCTAAATCTTTGGTTTTAGGACCTTTAAAGAGGTATTGGAGTTAAATATGAGGTCGTGAGGGTGAGCCCTAATCCAGTTTGACTGGTGTCTTTTTATGGTGGGGAAATTAGGGACACAGAGGGAAGGCCACGTCGAGGATGCGGGGAGAAGACAGCCATCTGCAAGCTAAGGAGAGAGGCCTCAGAATGAAGCCAACCTTCACCTTGGACCTTCTGCCTCCAGAACTGAGGAAGTGAGTTTCTGTTGCTTAAGCCCTGGCCTGTGCTTTGTTTTGGCAGCCCCAGTGAACTCACACTCGCAGGGCGCCCTTGAGGAAGGCAACAGCCCATCACCGGGTGCCTGGGGATGGGGTGGGAACAAGGTGAACATGGGCCCTGTTTCCTCCCTCTCCCATGTGAACCTGAAGCCATCACTTTGGTATTTATTGATTTTTATTTATTTGGCCACACCAGGTCTTAGCTGCAGCATGCGGGATCTCCGATCTTTGTTGCAGCATGAGAACTCAGTTGTGGCATGTGGGAATCTAGTTCCCTAAGGATTGAACCTGGGCCCTGCATTGTAAGCATGGAGTCTTAGCCACTGGACACCAGAGAAGTGCCAATATTTTTTTTTAATTTTATTTTTTAATTAAAAAAGTTTTTTTTTGGCATGTGGGATCCAAGTTCCTGGACCGAAGATCGAACCTGTGTACCCTGCATAGCAAGCACAAAATCTTAACCACTGGGCTGCCAGGGAAGTCCCTGAAACCCTAACTTTAACCATACCACTGAGGATGCCCACTCCCCTCCATGCTCAAGCATCTTAAGCCACAGGACCCTGGCTGGATGGAAGGATAGAAGTAACACCCCAAAGATGCCACAGTGAACCCACAACCCCCCACCGCAGCTGGGTACTCCTTCCCCAGAGTGACCCATGCAAATCATCTCCCCAGGCCCTCCCTTCTCCCCAGCTGGCCCTGCTCTCATCTGCATTCTGCTCAGTCCATCTAACAAGACCCAGCTCAGAGGCTTATGACGAGGATGAAACTGCCTCCACAAAGGGGTTGGCCCACACTCAGGAGGCGCGCTTATTCCACGTGGTCGCAGGCCTCTTGCCCATTTCTAGAGCAGTTCCCAAGCCAGCCGCCAACACTGGGCATTCAGATCACTGCCAACCTTTTACTCTTTAAAGGCTGTAAGAACAGCCCTTCCACTGGGGGCTCAGGACACTGGTCAGTGGTTTAACCACAGAGTCAGACCATGAACCTTGTAAGATGCTGGGGAAATAGCTTCTGAAAGTTTTGTAATTTTCTGGTAACCCCAGCTACCACCCTGAGGAGCCAGTGTCCAGGTCCTGGCAGCACTAGAATGGTCTTCGCCTTAACCAGCCCTCACCCAAGGGCTGTTCTGAGGTTTGTCGACTCTTTCTTCCCTGGTGAACCGTTTCTGATCTTTGCTCCTTGAGTTCTTATCGATTTGCGTGAGCTTTTAATAGCTGATAACACACCTGGCTTGTTCCCCTGGTACAACTCACTCTTAACCATGCATGATCAGAGGTTAGCCTGTGTGGAGGGCTCCCAGAGATGCCGCTGGCAGTGCTTTAGAACTTTTCATCTGGGGAGCTGGGTGGTTTGAGGGTTTCCTGCTACATGGAATGTGGGAATTATAGGGTGGTGCAGAGGCCCATAATGGGCTCACCCTTGGGACCCTTGTCCCTGCACACTGGGGCAGGTGGGAGGCACCTTGGTGAACCCAAGGGGCCCTGCTTGCTTCCCATGGGATGCTGGACGAGGAGCATGGCTGGAGAATGGTCACAGCCAACTAAGCACCTGCCAATGACTGACAGGCATGAAGTCTCCATCTCATTTACAAAGAAAAGATTGAGGAAAACAGTCTGACGGTTTCTCATAAAGTTACTTTGTCAGCCAGCCACTCTAGTCCTAGATATCTACTCGAGAAATGATAACATACATCCCATCAGAAACTAGTCTATACATGTTCACAGCAGCATGATTCACTAAAGCCACAAGGCAGAAACAGCCCCCAAAATGTCCATCAATGGATGAAAGGATCAACATGTGGTCCAGCCACACATTATGGAATATTATTCAGCCCTGAAAATGAATGAGGCACTAAATCATGCTACAACAGAAACAAGCTTTGAAGACATGAT